TCAGGCCTAAGAAGGGGATACTGTCATATCCATCCCCGGCCATCGACTTCCGATCCCTCCGATCCCTCCGATTATTCACGCTCCTTCTCCACTAACCTCGGAGCTCCCATATTCCGCAACTCCCTTGGTACCCCTCAATGGTCACCACCCCCTCCTTTCAATTTATTACCTACGCCTCCCTAAGTACGGAGCCCCGAAGGCTTCCAGACAGCTCCGACATCCGCTAGCACACTCCCGCCTCTGCTGGGCAATACACTTGCTTGCCCTGCAAAGCCCACCTTCGGGCCTATCCCTCCTTTCCATTTCTGGGTTATCGCCTGCCTTTCCGTTAACCCTGTAACCCGACTCGTCGGTAATATTCAGTTGGCTAATGTTTAACCCTGTTAGCTCTGCTCCGTTCAGCTCCACCATTTGCGGACCTGTCTTCGCTGTAACCATATATATATCCAGCTTGTACATAGGTTACACTTCAGTAATAAAATCGACTAGAGTTTACCCTCTTCAGTTCTGGTGGCCAGTTAGTAAGTTAGGGCATGGACGTGTTTACTAGGCACAGCGCTCCTGGCATAAGTCGCTGAGGCTGAAGCCCTCCGTCACGGAGACACTCTTTCATCTCGACCTGGTCTCTGACAGAGCATTTGAAAATGAAAAGGAAAAAAAAAAGAGGGAAGATCCCCCATGAATACCTCCTACCACAAGACTAACACAACAAGACACTGCTTTGTCATATCCATACAATCCCGACCTCTGCTCCGGGCTCCCGGAACTCCGAACTCCGACTTCCGGAGCCCTACTTCCCTTCCGTCACCTTCTCCTTGCCGACTCCCAAGAGGTTATCCCACCTCCAGCTCGGACACCACCTTCGGTCCGACTCCGGAACATTCCGGTTCCGACCCCAACCTCGACACCTTCCAGACGAGTATGCAACACCTATGCTCCCGACTCTGGACCTCCACTCCGGAATCCCGTTTGCGTCTCTGTCTCCGGAATCTCCGGTCTTAGCTCCGACCCCGGACTTTGACCCCACCTCCGCTTATACCCATTGTATTGGTTAGCTCATTCCATTTAATTACCTTTGCCAATATTCCGGAGTTTAACCTCCGAGTTCGGACTTTCCGGACTTACTCCGGACCTTGCAACTATTGCATTGTCCATTTCAATTCCGCTATTCTCCCTCATTCCTATTTGGGCTGCTGCTTCCTTTCTATTCAGTCAGCTAGCCATTCCCCACTCCCAACCTCCTTCCTTCCTCCTTGGGCCTTGGCCCTTCATTCCTCCTTTGGGAAACACCATTGAGTCAAACACTTGACCCTCGGTGTTGTTCCTCTTTCCATCTCCCTTTGTCTCCTTTCGTCCTACCCTTGTTCCTTTTGATTCCGGACCCCTCCTTATATACAATGTACCTAGTAACTTGTAACCTCAGTCCAAAATCGACTTGAATTCCCCCAAGAGACTTTCCCTCTGCTAGATCTGAAATTAGGGACCCCTAGGACAACCAGCAATGGCACAGCGCTCCGCCTGAGTCGCTGAGGCCAAGGTCCTTCCATGCTAAGTCTCCGATTCCATTCCGGAGTCGTCCGAATCCGCACGTTCTAACATGCTTGACATTTAGATCAAACACTATACTATATATCAAGGACACTGAGACTCACCAATACACAATCAAAATTTATGGCCTGATATATGATTAATCTGGCAACTTAATCACTTTCGGGCTGGCAGAATATGGGGGAGGGGGAAATGGGGGAGAATGAGGGGGGGAAATGAGGGGGAAATGAGGGGGAGAATGAGGGGAGAATGAAGGGGAGAATGAGGGGGGGAATGAGGGGGGGAATGAGGGGGGGAATGAGGGGGGAATGAGGGGGGGATATAGAGGGAAATGAAGAAAATTTGAAAAATAGGGACTTCTAAAAAGTTGAAAAAAATAATTAGGGAAAAATCAAAAAAATTCAGGAACTGTAGTGCCTTTGAAGTGCTTTCAGGATATATAATTATTTGCAAAATCGAGGAAGAAATGATGGAGAAAAATGGAAAATACTTTCGGAGACCCGAGAAATAATGAGAACTGAATTGATGGGAAAGTCTGAAAATTGAATAGGGAAGTGAGGGGAAGCCTTGTAGCATTGTTATTTTCTGCTGTTCTAATTTTTCCTGATTGTTCTTGGTCTCACTCCCAGCTGCTACTGGATACTCCTGGAAGCTCCTGGAAGCTCCTGGGAGGGTCCAGGAGCAGCTAATGGAAAATACTTTTGGAGACCCAAGAACTGAATTGATGGGAAAGTCTGAAAATTGAATAGGAAAGTGAGGGGAAGCCTTGTAAGCATTGTTATTTTCTGCTGTTCTGATTTTTCCCGATTCTTCTTGGTCTCATTCCCAGCTGCTCCTCAATACTCCAGGAAGCTCCTGAAAGCTCCTGGGAGGGTCCAGGAGCAGCTGGGAGTGAGACCAAGAACAATCAGGAAAAATCAGAACAGCAGAAAATAACAATGCTTACAAGGCTTCCCCTCACTTTCCCTTTCCTATTCAATTTTCAGACTTTCCCATCAATTCAGTTCTCATTATTTCTCGGGTCTCCGGAAGTATTTTCCATTTTTCTCCATCATTTCTTCCTCAATTTTGCAAATAATTATATGTCCTGAAAGCACTTTAAAGGCACTATAGTTCCTGAATTTTTTTTTGATTTTTCCCTAATTTTTTTTTTTCAACTTTTTAGAGACCAAAATTTTCCTCCCACTGCTCCTGGCACATTACATACTCCTCACCACTCCCAGCTGCTCCTGAACCCCCTCCCAGGAGAACACCATTGGCTCCAGGAGTGCCCAATCTGCTGTTTTGTCTCCCACATGCTCCAGCCACTCTTGATGCTCCAGAGCATAACGGACTTTTGCTGATGGAATCTGCCCGTTCTAACAGAGGATGGGAAATGGGAATCAGAAAGCGTGAGAGAGAAGGCTTAGCTTGTCAAGGAAGAATGTGTGTAGAAGACGTGTTACAACATGTTACAACATTGGCTTCACCGTTCTAATGCATTGTAACAATTGATGCATGTTACAAGTTTACAACGTTTCTGGAAATGTCATAATGCGTTATAACACTTGGGAAACATTACAACGATTAAGCCAAAGTTAAATGCGTTGTAATGCAGAAAAGTGTTATGAGCGAATGGCAATTCCCGATTTCCGACAGTTATATCTGGGCAAAATATACTTAGTTGTGATTTTGCACGTCTCATAAGTTTAACCTGCACCTGCTCAGAGCACGGCCATGTCCGATGACGAGCTGGATGCCTATCTGGAGTCACTCACATGCAAACCCCACAGAGTTATCAACTGCCGCTCCTGCAATCCGATAGGAAGGACAGACGCATCTATTAGCAAAAACTCCAAGAAGAGGGCATCCGACTTCTCACCTCCACCGAGCCATGCGGCACCCTCAAAACCAAAATCACCAACACCAAACGACACCCCCAAGAACCTCGCCGACCACTTCATCTCATGCATCGACTCTGCTTGGGAAACTGTCAATGATATACGACACTCCTTCTCCCCACCAACCATAAGTGAGGTGACTAAGAAAAGAATGGAGGAGATTTGCACACTGTTTGGCCAACCACCGGCCCCAGATACTGCCTCCCTATCCAAAGCTCTTGAACTAGCCACCGAAACATGCAATACCCTGGCCCAGTCCAATGCCGCCCTAACAGCAGAACTGGCGAAAATGAACGACAAACACACAGAGCCCAGCACGACGCGTAACACCGACGCGCATGAGAAGACAAACTCCCCACAAACTACCACACCCCCAACTCAAAACAGCAACAGCAACAGCTTCACACAATCAGAAAACCCCACCCCGATCAAACCAATGAGGAAAAAACTGCCCCAGCCACAACTCCCAACTCAAAAGAACCACTCCAGTCGCCTGATCATCGCCACCGACCCCCCTCTCCCCATCCATAAACGCAATATACAACCTGAATCAGTCAGATGTATTAATGCGCAACTGAAGGGAAAACACCCCACGATGAATAAGCAAGTTCTGGCTGTGTACTCCTCTGCCTGAGGCAACCTTGTCGTCGTCGGAGCGGTCGGAACACATGCAAACGACCTAGCACCCCTAAAGGACGATATAATCTGCATCATTGACGACAGTCAGCCTTATCGCACAACAGCGTGGCAAGACAAAGCACTATACCGGAAAAAGCTTGATGGTGTTCCAACCAGGGAACTACCAGGACAAACCCCTTACGCCCCTGAACAAATCCTTACTCAGCTATGGGAAGGATATGGTCCACTCTGGGATAATTTTACCCCCACTTCTCCACCAGCTTGGTTGGCAAACGATGAGACCCTACAAGTGAAACACAAGGCATCCCTGGTCTTCACTTTTGACAGCCCTGAAAAGGCCGAGCGTTTCCAGAATGCAAAGGCTTTCTATGTGTATGGTGCCCTGGCCACAGTATCTGACTACAAGGATCGCCCACGCCCGGTCCATTGCGAAAAATGCGCATCACTCCACCACATGTCTCACCAGTGCAAGACGGAACACCGGTGTCACATATGCGGCGATGAGGAACATGCAACAACTGTCCACCCTCAAGACCGACCACCAAATTGCATCAACTGCGGTGAGGAACACCCGTCATCAAGCCGCAGCTGCCGTGTGTATTGCAAGAAGGCACAAATTACACCCAAAACATCGAAAACCTGCACGGGTAAGGCTACATGCCCCACCATTGAGGTCTCAATGAGAGACAACCCGTAACTGGGATCTGCCCCTTCTTCCATTTACTTCACGTTATTTACATGACACCCACCCCTGACTTCACCAACCCGAGGATCTTCTAACACCCGACGCTACCAACCTGCCCCCACTTGAATGTATTGAAAATCCCTCATGTACGCTTCGGTGTCATCGATGGGATAGCCGCACTGCCACGTCATCACGAGGCCGCGGGGTATTAAGAGAGATTAATCATCATCATCATCATCACCTGCTCAGAGACCTGGGATTTCTCAGGGGATAGCTCAGGATAACACTGATTCTGCATTATTCAGCATGGAAATTGTACACAGATAATTTTGCTCTAAACGCAGTGAATGTCACGGTCGCCAATGACCAGCTATGGATAAGTCATGCCTTTCTGGGCTCTCTCTGTCCTGGTACCCTGCGAGCGGAAAAGAGCTTATATGCACAGCAAATCCTCACGCCTCCAAACAAGACAATAACAGCGGTGCTGCTTCATTTCCTTTTCTCGATTTAGCGTGCATCACGGGTGGTGGACTTTTGTTTCTTGCCGCCATGTGGGAGGATTGAGCACGTCTTCCGCCCATGCGCTGTCATCCACACTACTACGATGTCTGGCAAAAACCCGTTGCCATTTTTCTCTGGGCGTTCGAAAGCAAAGTCCCCTGCTCCCGAGCTCTTTCTCCTTGATCCGCAACCATCACACACTTCCAGGTCCTTACTTCAAGCGCCCAGGATCGATATCACTAGTCTCCAGGTGACTCGGGACGGAGAAGTTGGGTCTCATGCAGTTTCTCCGTCGTCTATGTCTACGCCGCCGTCCTCCTCTCTCCTCCCCCGATGGGTCCTAAGGTGGCGAAGTCCCAGTCCCAATCGAGACAAATCAACTACACAACGCGCCAAACTGTCCACGTCACCGCAGTCATCTCCTGATAACTCACGGCTATCACACTCTCACATCCCCTCTGAAGTGACTGCTAATGATACCCCTTCAAGGTTCGACCCACAAGCCATCTACGAAACGAGTGCTGTATCCGCCGAGCAGCCTCGAGGCGATGGCCCTTCATTGGGCGTGGGGTCTTCATCATCGGCAGCGGCGGCGACCGGCTCACATGGTGACCAAAAGAAGACCATTATAGATGCCATTAAACTTCTTCTTCAAACTTCTGCCACCGCTCTTAAACTCGCACCTATACCCAATCTTTATCAGATTCCGAACACGCTCCTGGCGTGGATAAACACCTACGAGGTAGGGCACGGACCCTGAGTTCCTTTGGTGATCGCATCAATGCCTCTGATCTTGTTACCTCGACCCAGAGTATCATCGGCAACGCTGAAGACATGAAGATGTTGTATGTTGTGATCCAAAAAGTGCACGACTCGGTGTTTCAGCCCCTCCGAGAATGGACTGGCGAGATTCCCCCCGAACTAGGAAATCTAACATGGGGTTTCCATGCGTAAGTTCCTCGTCGTGTTCTTATCTGCCCATCCTAACATGTTCTTATAGATCCCTGAAAAAACGAGTAGAGGAAGTTGAATCAATCCAGCGAAAAAACCCGTTAACCAGGGCTATCCAAGTGCCTGACATAACACAACAAATAAATGGCATGAAGAGCTGCCTGAATGATGCTATTTCTCGTTTCCAGGTTCGTCGACTTTGATGTTATTGAGGTGTTTGGAACTTGACCGATTGTGTTCTCTCCAGCTAAGAATATCAACTTTAATTCTACTTCGTACGGAACGTGTGTCAGTGCAGTGTATGTTTTCCCGTACATGCAGTTGAACTCCTTATTTAACACAACTTTCAGCTGAACTTTCGAGACTCAAGCCAGTCGCTGCCGAATACATGTATGTTAAGAGCAAGTCGGAATGTCTCGAACGCACGCGGGTCCAGATACAAGCATCGCTGTTGGAGCATCTCAAGATCCCCGAGAATCGATTTACCTGGTTGCGTGGGCCTCCCGGTACTGGGAAGACAGCAATCTGTATGAGCGTTGCGTCCACCCTCAACAGCGAGGCTGTCCTGGCGGCGTCGTTCTTCTGGGATAAGAACCAAGCAGGAACGGGCCTCGATTCCATTGAACACTTTCCTTCCACCCTTGCGTACCAACTCGCAGTCTTCAACGAAGACTTCAAGATGTCACTTGTCAAACACCTTCGGCAGCCATCTTCAGGCTTTGTCAAGAGTCTCCCACTGGATAAACAAATGAGCGTTTTGATCATCAAACCAATGCGCGATGTGATAGAAATGCTGCCTTCTGGCAGGATTCGTTTCGTCATCGTACTAGACGGTTTAGATGAGTGTGGCAGTCCTATGGCACTCAGGACTTTAATGAAGCTCGTGCTAAAGCTGCATGATCTACCCTCCTCATTTTCCGTGTTGGTCAGTTCTCGCCCAGAGACACAGGTTATTCAGGCTTGGAGTCGAGCTCAATCGATGGGTTATGTCATTCTGTGCGAAGACACCGACACGATCGACAAGAGTGAGACTTTTCACACAATCCGTTGCATGGTGGACAAGGGGCTTAAAGACTGCATCTCCGAATCTTCATGGAAACCATCAGAAATGGATCTCAACACTTTCACTTCAGCGTGTCGTGGATTGCCCATTATTGCTTCACTGCGCATACGTGAAATTTGCGATCGAACTGAACTCGGTGCAACCCTCAAATTGGAGTTTGATTACTTCCGAAATCTCATAGATGCGCCGACTGATCTCAATTCGGAGTACCTGCGGATATTGCGGCGGGCCTATACGCTGGAATCGTTACCTGTTCGTCCGAATGTGATTAAAAATTACCGCCTTGTAGTGGGAACGATTGCTGTGGCGCAGGAACCGCTGAGTTTGCATTCCATTGCGCAGCTTTTGGGAATTACGGAGGATGAAGTCTATGCAACTTTGAGACCAATCAGTTCAATCGTATATCTTCCTTCAACAGGAGAAGGGCGGCCCAAATTTTATCATGCAACAGTGAAGGAGTTCATAATGGGGCATCCGATCAGTGGCACGTGTGACCATCCTTTTTTTATCGATAAAGATGGGTACTTCCTGGGGTTACCGCTCCTCCGATTCCTAAGGGGATTAGCTATGCCCACCGATCGCCCTTTAGGAGATGAGAAGAAGTGGACGGGATTTCAGCGGAAGTGGCAATCCGAACATATCCAATATGCTGTCAAATACTTGTTCAACCACTTGGACCCTTCAAAGCTGTTCTCGCAAGAATCCAATGAACTGCAGCAGGAGTTTGATCACTTCCTTAGGCATAAATTAATCTGGTTCATCGTGCTGTTGCAGGGTGAATTCACGTTGCTGGATAAGGCTAAGTTCCTTCAGGTAGGTTTATACTCAATGAATTCTGATGATTTGAATGGCGTGACATCCTTTCACTCTAGAATAATGATTATGGTTGGACTCAACTATTGAGAGAAGCCGAGAGAGTGAACGAATATGTAGTTGACCGGTATCGTCTTCCTTTTGAAACTGTCCACCCCAGCCACTTGCCCAAAACTACAGTGTTATATCCTTGGCAAATTTTTCGCTCCATGCTTCCAGCCTCATCTCAACTCTTCAAATCATACAGTCATCTTTCTGATCCTGTTCGGATCTTCAGCATTTCCGGAGAGCCCACTGGCCATCTGATTCCATTAAGCAAGCATGCACTCAGTGCTCGAAAGATTATGGAGACAAAGCTAAGGAGGTTTCCAAGGGAGCAGTGGGGTTACGAGGCTGGATTTCTTGATCCTGATATTCGTGGAGGCACAGTGACTTCTGCGGCAATCTCCAAAGATGGTTCTCATGTCGCACTCGGCTTCGGAAATGGTGGCATCGAAGTCGTTGACATTGATCAGCAGCATTCCATCACTCGATTCCAATGTGACTCGTATAGTCCCCCAGTGTGGATCGAGTTTATCTCCGGTAGGCACCGGATTGCCACCGAAGATAATGAAGGGAATGTATTCATCTTCAGTCATGGTTCACGGCCCCTGAAGCTTGGTATGCTCCCCAGCGGGCATTATCCCCCTATCACTGTGGCAGCGGATAATGGATCATTCATCGTACGACTTCCACGCCATTTTTGTCCCAACTGGTACGACAGTGTGTTGATCTTGTGTGTTTCGGGGCGGCCATCCCTTCACCTTCTTTCCTGTCCTCGTTTGACACATACTGCTCCAACTCGCCACTCTTGCGGCCTCTCACTTGAATTGTCTCCTGGAGCACGATACGTTGTCGCTTGTGATCAGAACCAGGCTTTCATTTGGTCCACAGAGTCATACGAGTTCATTATTAGTCATCGCTTATCGAATTTCCCAGCTTTTGTTACATGTGTAACACCATACCGCCCGTACATCACCAGTGGGGCTATTGGGGACTCGGAGGATGGTATCCCTCGTACACGGGGCTCTGGGGTGAATATCGATTCGGATGAATCGTGGCTGGAGCGGCTGTCTCATAGACGCTCACAACTTCCGTCAGCCACAGAATATATCCGTCACCGCCGTCACGGTCAAGTCCGTCGAAAGCTGGTCAACCGCCCTAAACTGAAATTATTGCTCGATAATACATTGAAACTCATTCTCCCAATCCAATATCATCCAATCATTCTTAGTATGGGGCACCTTGACGGGCAATACTGGTATGGAGATCGAGTGATAGGGTATAAAGATCTCATCTACTTTCCCCGTGCTAGCAAGGACGGGACGCGATTCTTGGTTCAGGGCTGTATGAGAGCCCCTATCGTCGTTGATATTAGCCAAATCACTTAGCACTTCTACAGGCCCATGATCCACATTCTTTGTTCTTGTTAGTCAGTTTGCGTTGTAGTTGTCTCGGGAATAGTAAAAGCCTCAAAATATGCCATCAGAATGGGTTGCATCTACGTACACTAATGAAGACGATGGACAGGTGCATTTCATCATTGTCGGGAGGAATGGGTTAAAGTTGTCAAGTTATTCCCGCCTTATCGTCCAGGTCTCATTGGGCGAGTCCTTGAGGCCTCGCAATGGCACATCAAATCTGGGAGACATGCTACCCTCGTCGAGTGTTACTGTGATCGATATCATCGGAAATGACAATCAGCCTGCTACGGCTTGGCAAACGTGCCATTGAGGTTGTTCTTTACGCCGCCTCGATATCCCTGCTTAACATATATTTCACCAGTACTCGATATAGGGGATAAGTTGGAAAAATCACGAGTTCTAGGGCGGAGGGAACAAAGTCGTTGTGGTGGAGACGGTGTCAGGGTGGGTCGTGTTGTTATGCGTCGATGGGTGCATTGGGAACTAAGAACAAACGACTGGCCAAATGATGAAACACAATTGTCGTGGTTTGTGAGTGGGGTACGTGCCCCTGAGATCTCAGATGCGACGAACCTGCCTAAATCTAGCCCAACTGTTGGCTAGACCGAATTGGAACATGGATTGGCATGTAAATGAAGATTCATGACTCGCGAGGAAATAAACATGAGTGAATTGCTAAGGCTGTAGCCAATGGTGGTTGGTTAGGATTGCATGGGTAGTTTACGGACTCCGAGTAGAGGCCCCTGCCCAGTGTTTTGAATCGACTCGTAGCTTTCGGATTTGAATTAGGGTGGAGAGGAAGAGGAGAGTACGGTAACCCTTCATACGCAGTTAAAATACCTAAGCTCCAAAAGAGTGAGTGCTCTTAACGTGAAGGTCGGGCTGAATGAAGCATTAACAATTAGCTGCCCCGATGCATGGCCAGGTGGACATACGTGCAGAGAGCAGTATGCAAACGAGCTGGCTAAACTAAGGCAGACGATGGGAAATGGGAATCGGAAAGCGTGAGAGAGAAGGCTAACTTGTCAAGGAAGAATGTGCGTAGAAGGTTCCCCGGTATGGCATTCCTTTTCCCTGGTCGTTGGTAAAGTAGAAAGTTCACATCACGAACTGGTGAGCTTACTTTAGACCGCCGGAACCTGGTGTGGGGCTCCGACGTCGATAACTGAAGTAAACATCGCAACCCTTCTCCGTCATACGGAAAACTAGAATGTAAATGGGTTTGATCCAGTTGCCAATAGATGATGAACTACATAGGATCATGTGAATACCGGTAGTGTACAATCTGGAATTACAGGGCGGCACAAACGCATTCTCAATTCACAATCACCGATAGGAAGGAACAATCGTCCTTCTCTGCGCTCCATCTAGCGTAACTGACATTGCCTTATGGATTGGGCCAGGGACCGCGGGCGATTGCTTCTGTCGTACGAGAGGCAGGACTCCAGTCCTGCATCGCGACACTCAAATGCAAATTATATTGACATTCTCTCGGAGCGAGCCGCCAATTCAATGATGTACACCGGCTGACCTCAATAAAATACTCCATTCAAATTGTCGACAATGTGGCCCGCATACTGGCCAGGAGGGGTGGCCTCATCGGCTAAGTAGTTCCAGCGGGATACCGCATTGCATTGGTCCCTTACAGCTTGGGCGAATGGACTTTCAAACTATAACTAGCTTGTGAGTCCCACGTCAGGATCAAACATACGACACTCCTGTGTATCTGATGCTCCCTTCGTGTCCCCGCCGCACCGCCGTGCCTACACATCATACAACGGATCTTCATCTAATTGTCACACCCTTGATCGCTTGTACCTCCCAAGACAGCAAGTGCGCTTAAGTCTATGCCGCCGCGTGTGCCCGGCTGTGCAATTGTTGGTTTTCCGCCAGTGAATTCTCTAGTATGACTAGCTAGCGACTGGATAAGCCATGCCTATCTAGGCCATTCCTATCCGGGAGTGGAAAGGGTCGAATGTCCGCAGCAAATAGATTCTTATGTTTCCAGAAAAGACAACAGCAGCGCCGCTGGTTCATTTCCTCTTCTCAATTGCGTGTGAATGATGGGTGATCAAAGCATTGAGCACCTATTTCCAGCCTCATTATTCCGTTCCTGTCGTTCGCAATACTTCGATGTCCCACAAAAACTTGGTTTCCTCTCGGCGTTCGAAAGCGAAGTCTTCTGCTCTCGACCACCCTCTCCATGATCCGCAACCTTTGCACACTTCGAGGTCCCCACTTCAAGCGCCCAAAACTGGTCTTGCCGATGCCCAGATAGCTCAGAACGGAGAGGCTAGATTTCGTGCTCCGCCTCCGTCGTTTACGTCTATGCCGCCGTCTTCATCTCTCCGAGGTCGACTTGCTCGATGGGTCCCGAGGTGGCGAAGCCCGAGTCCTAATCGAGACAGACCAACTACATATGGTCCTGAACGGTCTATAGCAGATACTTCACTTCAACTATCCCCTGATAACTTGCGACCATCACTCTCCCTCGAGAACCGTAACAATACCCCTTCAAGGCGTGACCCACATGCCATCCATGAGAAGAGCGCGGTGTCCCCTGGGCGGCCAGGGGACACAGGCGGCGTTGGCTGTTCATCATCCATAGAGTCGTTACCAGCGCCGGTGGCATCGGCAGAGGCGACAGACTCATATGAAGACCGAAAGAAGACCATCATGGGTGCCATTAAACTCCTCCTTCAAACTTCATCCACTGCTCTTAAGTTTGCTCCTATACCAAATCTCGATCAGATTCCGACCACGCTTCTGACCTGGATTCAAGCCTACGAGGTATGTGTGGCAACCTGAGTTCTTTGATGACGTTATCGATGTTTCTGATTTTGCCATGTCGATAAAAGAGTGTCGCCAGCAACGTCGAAGACATGGAGAAGTTGTATGTTGTAATCCAGCAAGTTCGGGACTCGGTACTTCAGCCCCTCCGGGAATGGACCGGAGAGATTCCCCCCGAACTAGAACATCTAACACGAGATTTCCACGCGTACGTTTCCTATCTTCATCGCATTCTTATTCGCTCGTTCGAACATGTTCTCACAGAGCTCTGAAGAAACAAGTAGTAGAAATCAGATTAGTCCAGCACAAAAATCTGCTTCAGAGGGCTATTCGAGCGTCTGATATCACACAACAAATAAATTACATGAAGAATTCTCTAAATGATTTCATTTATCGCTCCCAGGTTTGTCAATTTCAGTGTTATTCAGATCTTTGGGACTTCATTTACCCTGTTCACTGCAGCTCAGAATATCGACTTTAATTCTGCTTCGTACCGAGCGTTTGTCGGTGCAGTGTATGTCTTGCGTACATGGGCTCGAACATTCTATTCAACGCGGTTATCAGCCGAGCTTTCGAGACTCAAGCCAGTCGCCGCCGAGTACATGTATGTCAAGAGCAAGTCGGAATGCCTTGAACGGACGCGGGTCCAGATGCAAGCATCTCTACTGGAGCGTCTCAAGGCCTCTGAGAATCGATTCACCTGGCTGCGTGGTTCTCCTGGTACTGGGAAGACGGCAATTTGTATGAGTGTTGCATCCACCTTCAACAGTCAGGGTACCCTTGCGGCGTCGTTCTTCTGGGATAAAAACCAAGCAGGAACAGGCCTCGATTCCATTGATCACTTTCCTTCCACCCTCGCGCACCAACTGGCAGTCTTCAACGAGGACTTCAAGATGTCACTTGTCAGACGCCTTCGGCAACCATATTTAGGCTTTGTCAAGAGCCTTCCTCTGGATAAACAAATGGACACTTTGGTCATCGAGCCAATGTGTAATGTGATGGGAATATTGCCTTCTGGCGAGGGTCGCTTCATTATTATCCTAGACGGCTTAGATGAGTGTGGGAATCCTGAAGCACTTAAGACTTTAATGAGGCTTGTACTGAAGCTTCATGACCTGCCCTCCTCATTTGCTGTGTTGGTCAGCTCTCGTCCGGAGATGCAGGTTATTCGGGCTTGGGCTCGAGTTCAATCGATGGGTCATGTCATTCCATGCGAAGACATTGACATGATTGACAAGAGTGAGACTTTCCTCACAATACGCCGCATGGTAGTTAAGGGCCTTGAGGACTGCATCTCCGAATCATTGTGGAAACCGTCGGGGAAAGATCTTGACGCCTTTGCTTTGGCATGTCGTGAATTGCCCGTTATAGCTTCACTGCGCATACGTGAGGTCTGCATTCGGACTGAACGGGGTGCCACCCTCAAATCCGAGTTTAATTACTTCCGGAACCTCATGGATGCTCCGACTGGTCTCAAATCTGAGTACCTGCGAATACTGCGGCGAGCCTATACTCTTGACTCGCTACCTGCCCGTCCGAGTGTAATTGAAAATTACCGCCTTGTAATGGGGACAATCACTGCGGCACGGAAACCATTGAGTGTGTATTCTATTGGACAACTCATCGGAATTACGGAGGATGAAGTCCATGCGACTCTGAGACCGATTAGTTCCATCGTCAATCTTCCTTCAACACAAGAGGGGAAACCCCATTTTTATCATGCAACGGTGAAGGAGTTCAATTTGGGAGCACCAATTGATGCAGGTGATCATTCGTTCTTTATCAGTGATAGGAATGGGTATTTCTTGGGGTTGCCGCTCCTTCAATTTTTGAGGGGTATCTTCGAGCGGAATGAATTAGCAATGCCTACCGAAGGTCCTTTAGGAGACGAGGAGAAGTGGAAGGACTTCCAGAAGAAGGAGCGACCCGAACATATCCGATATGCTGTCAAGTACTTATTCAGCCACTTGGATCCCTCAAAGCTGTTCTTGCAAGACTCCAGTGAATTGCAGCGGGAGTTTGATCACTTGCTTACCCATAACCTGCTTGCCTTCATGGTACTCTCGTGCGGTGAATTCGAATTGCCGGATGAATTACTTCGATATAATGTAAGTTGGTATTCATTGGGTTTGCTGATTCTCAATAGCATAACATTATTTCACTCTAGAACCACAGTTCAATCGAGCTTCTACGAGAAACCAAGAGAGTGAACAAATACATCCTTGAATACAGTTTTCAGCTCGGACGTCACTCTTCAGTAGGCAACACAAGCGCTCGTGATGGCAGCCATTCATTTGATCCTTGGCACATTTTTCGATCGGTGCTTCCCTTCTCACCCCCAATTTTCGGATTTTATCACCATCTCTCGGATCCTGTTTGTATCTTCAGCATTTACGGAGAATTCACTGGTCATTTAATTCCATTAAGTGAGCATGCGCTCGAAGCTCGAAACGTTATGGAGACGAAGCTAAGCAGGTTACCAAAGAGGAGTGGGTCAACCGACCACGAAGCGGAATTTATCGATCCTGGTATTCGTAATGGTATAGTAACTTCGGCAGCAATCTCAAAAGATGGTGCTTGCGTCGCGCTCGGCTTTGGGAACGGTGACATCGAAGTTGTTGACATTGATCAACAACACGCCATTTCTCGATCCCAATGCGACTCACACAGTCCCATAGTGTGGATTGAATTCATCACTGGTTGCCACCGGATTGCTGCTGAAGACAATGAGGGAAACATATTCATATTCGACCCCGGTTCGCCATTTCTGAAGCTTGGTACCCTCCCCAGTGGGTGGTATCCGCCTGTTACTATGGTGGCGGACAATGGATCGTTCATCATACGACTGCCACGACATCTTGGGGCCAACTGGTACGAAAGTGTGGCGATCCTGTATGTTTCGGGGGAGCCATCCAATCACCTTCTTTCCTCTCCTGGATCTGTTCCTGCGACTGTCCCAGACAAACCCCTAACCATTCCTTGCGGCCTCACACTTGAACTCTCTCCAGGAGCACGATACGTTGTCGCCTGTGATTCAAACCACGCCTTCATTTGGTCAACAGAGTCACGCGAGTTCATTGCTAGTCATCGCCTAGGCCTACGTTTTGCAACTTTTGTTACTGGTGCAACACCCTACCGCCCATTCATCATCAGTGGGGACATTTTGGCGTGGACGGATAGTATCCCTCATATGCAGAATTCCAGGGTGGAGGGTGACTTGGATTCACTGTGGCTCGAGTCGCTGTCTCACAGACTTTCAATAAGTTTGACGAGGCGTTTAGCATACATTCGAGAGTATCGAGAGTTACTCGGCGCCCCCAACCCGAAATTGTGGCTCAATGACACATTGAAACTCATTCTCCCCATTGAATATCATCCAATCCTTTTCAGTATGAACCCCCGTGACAGGCGAAATGAATGGTATGGGGATCGAGTGATGGGAGGTAAAGATTTCATCTACTTCCCTCGTGCCAGCAGGGACGGGACACGATTCTTGATTCAGGGCCGCACGAGAGCCTCAATCGTCATTGATATTAGCCAAATCATTTAGGGCCTCTGTACACGTCCATGATTCCCGTTCTTTGTATTCGTTGGTTAGCTGGGTGACAGTTCGCATTGTAGTTGGGGACCACAACCTTTAGACGTACAGGATAGATAAGTAGTGTCTGCGAACACTGGTGCATTTCATCATCGTCGGAAGGAATGCACTGGGCTGGACAAATAGCTCCTGCTTCGTCGACCGGCGCAGTGGAGAAATACTTTTCTAGTCGCATTGTGGGAGGTCTGAGGCCCAGCTGTGCCAAAAGAGATGCTGCCACTCTGGTTGAGTGCTACTACAATCATCGACGATGGCGATCACCCCCTGTTACGGCATTAGAGGACCATGCTGTTGAGAATGCCTTCAGTTCCGCTTCGGCATCACCGCCCAAAATATACTACACCAGTACTTGATGCATGGGAGGGGTTGAAAAACTTGTGAGTTTTATCATTTGGGTGGTGGAGGAAGACACAAAGCCATGATGATACCTTAATCTCGTGGCAGATGGACATAGCGCCAGTGCCGAAGTGTGTGGTGTTGGGAAGGTAGATCACAGGTGCACCAAGTGCTAAGAAAGAAAAAACCGGCTACGCGAGCCGTCACGATCGGTGGGGATGGGCGTTGATACGCACCAATGAATGGATGTTAATGTGTGCAGATTCTAGCCATGAAAGCGGAGGCTGCGATATCGCCTGATGCGACAAACCTAGCTCCGACCCAGGCGTTGATTAGACCACATGAAACGAATCAGAGCATAGATTGGCATGTGAAAATGGTTCATAAGGGAATGAACAGGGGCGGTCCACTAAAGCTTGAGCGGGGTGCAACCATAGTGTTGGTTAGACCCATCGCGAACGCATGGGTACCGACTCCGAGTTAGTACCACCTAGCGTTTCAAATCTTCCGGATTTGGGCAGGTGGAGAGGGGACAGTGTGGAAAGTCTTTATTCGGGGATGAAACGTGTATATTTCAGAAGAATGAGAGCACTGGATATATGAAGGTCGCGGTTGCACGGTGCACTGTGAAGCGGGATAGATGAACACTGGTGCGTTTCAATGACAAATAACTCTTGCTCATCGACCGGTGTGGAGAAGTACTCTTCTAGTCGCATTGCGGGAAGTCCGAGGCCCAGCTGTACCACAACAAATAGACGCCGCCACCCTCGGTGAGTGCTACTGCGATCATCGACAATCACAATCACCCCTGTTACAGCGTTAGAGGAACCATGCCGTCGAGCGTGCTTTCGATTCTGCTTTGGCATCACCACCCAAAATATAGTACACCGGTCTTGATGCATGGGATGAGTTGGAGAACTTGTGAGTTCTATTCATTCGAATGAGAGAGGAAGGCACAAAGCCATGATACGCTAGACTCATGGCAGATGGACATAGAGTCGGTGCCGAAGCGTGTGGTGTTGGAAAGGTAGGTCATACGTCAACAGGTGCGCCAAGTGCTAAGAAAGAAAAACCGGCCAAACCAGCAATGAATGGATGTGTAATATCTGCAGATTCTGGCTATGAAAACAGAGGCTGTTAAACCATGCGATGTCGCCCGTTGCGACAAACCTAGCTCCGGTCCAGCTGCTGATTAGACAACACGGAACGAGTCAGAACATAGATTGGCATGTGGAGATGACCCGCGAGGAGATACTAAACAGAACACCACAAGTAGACGATTGGCAGATACTTTGTTATCCCTTTCGGCGACAGAACACAGCGCAGACGGGAACGCAATGGATTAAGCCCAGGATCGTGCGCGTGCTGGTCGGTAGATGCCGTTCGACATTCTCCCGCGACCCCGAATGTCGTAGTGGTCAGGCAGGACTCCAGCCTCTATGACTTCGTAATTGTTAGAAGTTAGGAAGGAATATCGACGTCCCATATTTTGGGCGCACGGACCTGCAGCCGCCAGAGATTTTCCTTTATTCCTTTCTTGTCTTTCTTGTAGATCGACGTCGCTGTAGGCTTAAAAGCCACTGGACGCAACCTTTTCTTGCTTCCCTCAGTTCTACTCTCGTGAACTGAGGTGAGGTCTACCTTCTTCTTACGCGACTACTCGTTACTGAGAGATCGTGTACTTTACTTAGCGCTTATTGTCCGCTAGTTCTCTCACAGTAATACAGGGGGTTTGTGGTGAGCCCGATCAAAGCAGTTGCGAATCTTTGCACTGGTATCTTACTCATAATTGTACGGTTGCCGAGCAGGGCCAGGTCAAACGTTCACATCAAGGTCTTAAGTCACGTGACCCAGACATTTTTGAGCTCACCGCTACGCGTGTTTAACGGCTTCGGCGCTGTTAAAAACACAATAGGAATCACATCAGACTCGTACCCGGTCGTTTTCACTCCGTGGACACGCGCACGACACTGCAATGTGGAAATGTGACTACGTGGCTTTTGTATTCAATGTAAAGTCACGTTCTGCTTTCAATACAAAGAGTCACATGCTACTCCGACAATTTGCGCGCGACACGTTTCACATGAGGATCAGAATTGTTTTCTGAGATCGCGTCAAATGCCTAAGTGTGCTGCTACTACCAATGTGTACCAGTCGAAGTGTTCGCGCGCAAATTGTCGGAGTAGCATGTGACTCTTTGTATTGAAAGCAGAACGTGACTTTACATTGAACCCAAAAGCCACGTAGTCACATTTCCACATTGCAGTGTCGTGCGCGTGTCCACGGAGTGAAAACGACTGGGTACGAGTCTGATGTGATGCCTACTGTGTTTTCAACAGCGCCGAAGCCGTTAAACACGCGTAGCGGTGAGCTCAAAAAATGTCTAGGTCACGTGACTTAAGACCTTGATGCGAACGTTTGACCTGGCCCTGCTCGGCAACCGTATAATTGTAATATTTTAATCATGGTCAAGCGAAAGCGGATTAATTTTCCTTATACTTACTCCACTGTTGTCTCAATTGAGTGTGCATCATGTTCGGTGCAAGGTCTGCTCCTTGCTCACCATCGTATATATCATCATTCGAGCTTGCAAGGCTTTTGTGTGAGGGGATCGAGTGCCTCTTCCCGGCTTCATTATTCCCCTTCTGCGCCATCTTCCACACTATTGCGATGTCTCGCAAACGCCCATCCCCATCTCCCTCTCGACGTCCGAAGGCAAAGGTCCCTGCACCTGGGCCCTCTTCCAATGATCCGCAACTGTCGCACACCTCGAAGACCTTACTTCAAGTGCCCCAGATTGATATCCGAGTCACTGGTGAAGAGGTTGGATCTCGTGCTGCTTCTCCGCCGTTTACGTCCGTGCCACCTTCCCCCGATGCTTCTGATCATTTGGAAGCGTCCCCATCCCTTCTGCGTCGAATTTCTCGATGGACCAAGAGTCGTATAGAGTCTTTATCACCTCAAGCAGGATCGGCGGCGGCGACCGACCAAAAGAATACCACCCTAAATGCCATTAAACTTCTCCTTCAAACTTCTGCCGCCGCCCTTAAATTCGCTCCTATACCACAACTCGATCAGATTCCGAACACACTCCTGGCATGGATTAATATTTACGAGGTATGCCTGGTACCCTGAGTTCCATGAGGATCGTATCAACGTCTTTGGTATTGTTCCGTCGACCTAGAGTGCCACCAACGTTGAAGACATGGAGAAATTGCATATCGTGATCCGGCAAGTGCGGGATTCGGTGCTTCAACCCCTCCAGGAGTGGACGGGCGAGATTCCCCCCGAACTGGAAAATCTATCGCGAGATTTTTATGCGTAACGTTCCTCGCCCCCGTCGCATTCTTATCCGCTCACTCCAACATGTTCTTGCAGAGCCCTTAGAAAACAACTAGAGGAAATCGAATCAGTCCAGTGCAAAAATCTGCCAATGAGGGCTATTAAAGCGCCAGATATAACACAGCAAATAAGTGGCATGAAAAACTGTCTAAATGACGCTATTTCTCAGTTCCAGGTTTGTCAACTTCAGTGCTACTCAGGTGTTTGGACTTTGACATGTTCTCCGTAGCTCAGAATATCAACTTTAACTCTGCTTCGTACTGAACGTTTGTCGGTGCAATGTATGTTTTTCTGTCCACGGACTGAAACTCGTTATTCGACACAACTTGCAGCCGAACTTTCGAGACTCAAGCCAGTGGCTGCCGAATACATATATGTCAAGAGCAAGTCGGAATGTCTTGAAGGGACACGGGTCCGGACACAAGCCTCTCTTCTGGAGTCTCTTAAGGCCCCGGAGACTCGGTTCGTGTGGTTGCGTGGCCCCCCCGGTACTGGAAAGACGGCAATTTCTATGAGCATTGCATCTACCCTCGATGCTCAGGATGCCCTGGCGGCATCGTTCTTCTGGGATAAGAATCAAGCGGGTACGGGCCTCGATTCCATTGAACACTTTCCTTCCACCCTTGCGCACCAACTTGCAAGCTTCAGTGAAGGTTTCAAGACGTCGCTCGTCAAACATCTTCGGCAGCCATCTTTAGGATTTATCAAGAGCCTTCCTCTGTTCAAACAGATGAGCACTTTGATCGTCGAACCAATGCGCGATGCGATAGAAATGCAATCCTCTGGCAAGAATCGCTTCGTTATCATCCTAGACGGATTGGATGAGTGCGGGAACCCCGGAACACTTAGAGCTTTAATGGAACTCGTGCTACAGCTTCGTGATCTGCCCTCCTCATTTGCCGTGTTGGTCAGCTCTCGTCCAGAGACACAGGTTGTTCAGGCTTGGGCTCGAGCTCGATCGATGGGTCATGTCATTCCATGCGAGGACACCGACAAGATCGACAAGAATGAGACTTTTCACACAATACGCCGCATGGTAGATAAGGGGCTTAAGGATTGCATCTCCGAATCATCATGGCAACCATCAGAGGAAGATCTCAACGCTTTCACTTCCGCGTGCCGCGGATTGCCCGTTATAGCTTCGCTGCGCATACGTGAGGTCTGCGTTCGGACTGAACAGGGTACCAGAGCTCGAATACTTCCGGGATCTCATCGATGCGCCGACTGATCTCAATTCGGAGTACCTGCGAATACTCCGGCGAGCCTACTTTCCTGACTCACTGTCCATTCGTCCAAGTGTCATTGAAAATTACCGCCTTGTGGTGGGGATGATCGCTTTGGCGCGAGAACCATTGAGTTTGTACTCAATTGCAAAGCTTTTACAAATTACGGAGGAAGAGGTCTATGCGACTCTGAGACCAATCAGTTCGATCATAGATCTTCCCTCAACAGGACAAGGGCGGCCCAAATTTTATCGTGCGACGGCAAAGGAGCTTATTGCGGGACAAGCAATTGGTGACGCAGGTGATTCTTCTTTCTTTATTGGTACAGATGAGTATTCCCTGGGGTTGCCACTCCTTCGATTTCTAGAGGGCACCTTCGAGCGTGACTACATGATGGCCATCAGTAATCCTTTAGGAGATGAGGAGAGGTGGAAGGAATTCCTGGGTCGGGAGTTACCGGAACATGTCCAATATGCTGTCAAGTACTTGTTCAGCCACTTGAATACTTCAAAGCTGCTCTTGCAAGACTCCAACGAACTGCAGCAGGCATTTGATCGCTTCCTTACCCAGAACCTCCTTATCTTCATTGCGCTCTCGGACGGTAAATTCGCATTGCCGGATGAATTACTTCGATCCAACGTAGGTTTATATTCATGGAATTCTGCTCGTTTAAACTACAAATATAACATCGTTGCACTCTAGAATCATAATTCAACCGAACTCTTAAGAGAAGCCAAGAGAGCGAATGAATACGTCAATAATCGATATCGAGGGAACGCTCTCAAGCCTGAGGTTCTCACGACATTTTATCCTTGGCACATTTTTCGATCAATGCTTCCCTTTACTTCGAACTCATCCCCACTCTTCAAACTATATCATCATCTCTCAGATCCTGTTCAGATTTTCAGCATTTCCGGAGAGTTCACTGGTCATTTGATTCCGTTGAGCGAGCATGCACTCAGTGCTCGGATGGTTATGGAGACAAAGCTAGGGAGGTTACCAAAGGAGATTGATAGGGAGGGTCTGGAGGTAATCCACTATGAAGCTGAATACCGTGATCGTGATATTCGTAGTGGCACAGTGACTTCCGCAGCAATCTCAAAAGATGGCCGTCAGGTTGCACTCGGTTTTGGAAATGGCGACATTGAGGTTGTGGACATTGATCGGCAGCACACACTCACTCGATTCCAATGTGACTCGCGCAGTCCCCCAGTGTGGATTGTTATCCCTAATAGCCATGGGATTGCTACCGAAGATGATGAGGGTAACGTATTTACCTTTGACCACAGTCTGCAACCCGCTAGTCAGATTATCAACCACTATGATTATTGGAATAAACAACTTGTGAAGTTTGGTACCCTCCCCTCTGGGCATCGTCCCCCTGTCACTGCTGTAGCGGATGACGCGTCATTTATCGTACGGCTCCCACGACATCTTGGTCCCAACTGGCCAGAAAGAGTGGTGATCCTGTACCTCTCGGGGGAGCCATCCATTCACGTTCTTTCCTCTCCCAGTTCCATGCCTACCGCTGTTCCAACTCGTCCCCCACCAATTCCTGTTGGTCTCACAGTGGAGCTATCCCCTGGAGGGCGATACGTTGTTGCTTGCGATGCAAACCGTGCTTTCATTTGGTCAACAAAGTCGCGCGAGTTCATTGCTAGTCATCACCTACCAGATTCCGAGACTTTTACCTCTCATGCCATTCCCTCCCGCACATACATCATCAGTGGGGCCAGGCGGCCCCCCACTCTCAGCTCGGAGCATGGCATTGATAATATAGGGGACTTCAGGGTGGAGCGCGACTTGGATAAATTGTGGCTGGAGTCGCAGCCTCACACGCACTCATTGGAGGTACTGGCGCGGCGTCAGGCTTACTCTCTGAATAGAGCGCGGATCGGCACCCCTAACCCGGAATTATGGCTCAACAACACGTTGAAACTCATTCTCCCAATTGAATATCACCCAATCATTCTTAATAATGATTACCCCCGCGAGTGGTATGGGGATCGAGTGATAGGGGATGAGGATTTCATCTACTTTCCGCATGCTAGCAAGGACGGGACGCGGTTTTTGGTTCAGGGTCGTATGAGAGCCCCGATCGTTGTTGACATCAGCCAAATTGTGTAGCATGTCCATGAGCTTTTTCTTTGTACTGCCGCCGTGGTCTGCGTTGTGGTTGTCTCAGGAACTGCAGTTTTCACGAAGCTGAGACATGTACACCACTCCATGAGGATAGATAGCCTCCATAAATAGCAGCGAGAATAACTGACTAGCGGATTGCATCAATCATCAGAGGAAATCGCTATGTTTACTTTTGTGTTATCATCTAGTATGGCATGTCCTTGAAGCTCAGCAGCGCTAGCCCGTTGAGTGTTACTGCAATTATTGACGATGACAATCACTCCTATTAGAGCAGTAGAGCAAGTGTGCTACCGAGAGTGCTTCCTTCGATACCACCCGAGTCGTCCAACATATATTGCATCCGTACTCAAATCATGGGCTCAACTATCGGAGGGCGAGGGAAGAAACAAGGACGTGTTAATACGCCAATCCCGTGACAGATTGAGGTAGTGTGCCGTGTAGTGTGCCAAGTGAGAGACGAACCAAACGATGAAATGCAATTGTCGCAATCCGTGAGGCGTGAATTCTGGCGATGGAAGCAGAGGTCGTCAAACGGCGATGGAACAAGCTAACCTCCAGCCCAGCGGTCGAATATATTGTGATCATATGGAACGAGTTAAAACATGGATTGGCATGCGGATAAAGATGGTGACTCAGACAAGAACGGGCCGCTGAAGCTTGGGACGGCGCAGCAATGGTGCTTTTTTGGTCAGGCCCACCGCGATCCCATGCGTACCACCTCCGAGTCGGGGTACCCGGCGGTTCAAATCAACTCATTGCTTCTGCGGCGGAAAAGAGAGGAGTGCATGACGCGGCGAGCCTTTATTCACGGCTAGAACACCGAAACGTTAGGAGAATGGTTTAACACACTGGGCGAAGCTCCGGTGCACAGCTAGTTGGATAGCACGAGAACGAGCCGAATCGGAAAGGCCAGCTGGCCAAGAAAGAAGATGCACAGTAGGACGTTTCATGGAATGGCGTTCCTTTTCGAACATAGATATTAGGGTTGAGGTGAAGTTCGTACCAATGATGACCGATCTATGTGGGTAGGATCGCTATTCATGATGCATTACGTAACGTGGGTCTCATGTCGTTTTCTCAACAACAGAACATAACGCAGACGAGAATGCAAAGAACTCAGCTCGATTCAGTTGCTAGTATTGGATGATCAGATATGTAGGGTCGTGTGCGTACCGCCAAAACATGACAAGATACGTATGTGGTGAATTTGCTTCCAAAAAGTGCATTCCCTGGCCACCAGTGACAACACCATTGCAGCTTTCCGTGTGGATACACGTGGATTGTCGAGCATCAGGATATAAGGAGCTCGTACTAAGGGCGTTTATTGTCTTCGGGAAGATGGACCACCCAAGCTACTATTTTACTGCTCACTCGACATTTGGTCCACTTAGAAACTTTCTCAATCCACTCGACTCGCTTCCCCTAGGTAATCAGGGAGTGAAGATAGGCGCCTTCACTTCTGCCCACCCCATTTCTCATCTTCCCAGCTCGTACCCTGGTCGACAGCACTTCCGCACCCACGACAGAACTTTATCCACACGTCCTCCCTCCGGAATGTCCATATCGGGCGAAGCAATTACTGTGCTAGCACGACCAACAACCGGTTCCCACGGCCTCCGGGAGTTGCCGGAGGCTGCCAATCAATTCAGTTGTATTAATTTTCAATTCAATCCAAGACCCTCGCGTTACGCGTTACCGGTTGTTGGTCATGCTAGTACAGTATCCTGATACTGTGTACCACCCAGTGCGCCATGCGGCAGTGTGTCCTTGTGGGTCTCCTGGTGTAGGAACACAAGTCATGACATGCAGCATCCCATACTCACCCTTACACCGGACATGCGCATACACACGACTTATTGCTTTCATGCCTATTGTCGATAAGTTTTGGTCTCATCTGTAGTCCCTTGCTAGAACACGAGTGCAGCCGCCGAGCGCTATATCCATATCGGGTTAGTCATAACAACATTCTTAATGTCACGGTCGCCAATGACCAGCTATGGATAAGCCATGCCTTTCTGGGCACTCTCTGTCCTGGTGCCCTGCGAGCGGAAAGGATCTTATATGCGCAGCAAACCAAACAAGACAACAACCGCGGTGCTGCTTCATTTCCTTCTCTCGATTTAGCGTGCATCATAGGTGGTGGACTTTTGTTTCTTGCCGTCATGTGGGAGAATTGAGCACGTCTTTCGCCCCTGCGCTGTCGTCCACACTACTACGATGTCTCGCAAAAACCCGTTGCTATTTTTCTCTTGGCGCTCGAAAGCGAAGTCTCCTGCTCCCGAGCTCTCGCTCCATGATCCGCAACCATTACACACTTCCAGGTCCTTATTTCAAGCGCCCAGGATCGATATCACCAATCCCCAGGTAACTCGGGACGGAGAGGCTGGGTCTCATGCAGTTTCTCCGTCGTCTATGCCTACGCCGCCGTCCTCTCTCCGAGACCGATTTGTTAGATGGGTCCTAAGGCGGCGAAGTCCCAATCCCAATCGAGACAAATCAACTACACAACGCGCCAAACTGTCCACGTCCCCGCAGTCATCTCCTTATAATTCACGGCTATCACACTCTCACCTCCCCTCTGAAGAGACTGCCCCTTCAAGGACCGACCCACAAGCCATGTACGAAACGGGCGCTGTGTCTGCTGAGCAGCCAGGGTCAACAGGCGATGGCCCTTTATTATGCATAGAATCTTTATCATCAGCGGCGGCGACCGGCTCACATGGTGACCGAAAGAAGCCCATTATGGAAGCCATCAAACTTCTTCTTCAAACTTCTGCCACCGCTCTTAAACTCGCACCTATACCCAATCTTTATCAGATTCCGAACACGCTCCTGGCGTGGATGAATACCTACGAGGTAGGGCACGGCACCCTGAGTTCCTTTGGTGATCGCATCAATGCATCTGATCCTGTTACATTGACCCAGAGTATCACCGGAAACACTGAAGACATGAAGATGTTGTATGTTGTGATCCAGAAAGTGCACGACTCGGTGTTTCAGCCCCTCCGGGAATGGACTGGCGAGATTCCCCCCGAACTGGGAAATCTAACATGGGATTTCCATGCGTAAGTTCCTCGTCGTACTCTATCTGCCTATCTTAACATGTTCTTGTAGAGCCCTGAAAAAACGAGTAGAGGAAGTTGAATCAATCCAGCGAAAAAATCTGTTAACGAGGGCTATCCGAGCGCCTGACATAACACAACAAATAAGTAACATGAAGAGCTGCCTGAATGATGCTATTTCTCGTTTCCAGGTTCGTCAACTTTAGTGTTATTGGAGTGTTTGGAATTTGATCGATTGTGTTCTCTCCAGCTAAGAATATCAACTTTAATTCTACTTCGTGCGGAACGTGTGTCAGTCCAGTGTATGTTTTCCCGTACATGCAGTTGAACTCCTTATTTGACACAACTTTCAGCTGAACTTTCGAGACTCAAGCCAGTCGCTGCCGAATACATGTGTGTTAAGAGCAAGTCGGAATGTCTCGAACGGACGCGGGTTCAGATACAAGCATCGCTGCTGGAGCATCTCAAGATCCCCGAGAATCGATTTACCTGGTTGCGTGGGCCTCCGGGTACTGGGAAGACAGCGATTTGTATGAGCGTTGCGTCCACCCTCAACAGCGAGGCTGTCCTGGCGGCGTCGTTCTTCTGGGATAAGAACCAAGCAGGAACGGGCCTCAATTCCATTGAACACTTTCCCTCCACCCTTGCGTACCAACTCGCAGTCTTCAACGAAGACTTCAAGATGTCACTTGTCAAACACCTTCGGCAGCCATCTTCAGGCTTTGTTAAGAGTCTCCCACTGGATAAACAAATGAGCGTTTTGATCATCGAACCAATGCGCGATGTGATAGAAATGCTGCCTTCTGGCAGGATTCGCTTCGTTATCATACTAGATGGCTTAGATGAGTGTGGGAATCCTATGACACTCAAGAGTTTAATGGAGCTTGTGCTAAAGCTGCATGATCTACCCTCCTCATTTGCCGTGTTAGTCAGCTCTCGTCCAGAGACACAGGTTATTCGGGCTTGGAGTCGAGCTCAATCGAAGGGTCATGTCATTTTGTGCGAAGATACTAACACGATCGACAAGAGTGAGACTTTTCACACAATCCGCCGCATGGTGGACAAGGGGCTTAAAGACTGCATCTCCGAATCTTCATGGAAACCATCAGAAATGGATCTCGACACTTTCACTTCAGCGTGTCGTGAATTGCCCATTATTGCTTCACTGCGCATACGCGAAATCTGCGATCGAACTGAACTCGGTGCGACACTCAAATTGGAGTTTGATTACTTCCGAAATCTCATGGATGCGCCGACTGATCTTAATTCGGAGTACCTGCGAATACTGCGGCGGGCCTATACGCTGGAATCGTCGCCTGTTCGTCCAAATGTGATTGAAAATTACCGCCTTGTAGTGGGAACGATTGCTGTGGCGCGGGAACCGTTGAGTTTGCATTCCATTGCGCAGCTTTTGGGAATTACGGAGGATGAAGTCTATGCAACTTTAAGACCAATTGGTTCAATTGTTGATCTTCCTTCAACAGGAGAAGGGCGGCCCAAATTTTATCATGCAACAGCGAAGGAGTTCATCGTGGGGCATCCGATCAGTGGCACGTGCGACCATCCTTTCTTTATCGATAAGGATGGGTCCTTCCTGGGGTTACCGCTCCTTCGATTCCTAAGGGGATTGGCGATACCCACCAATCGCCCCTTAGGAGACGAGAAGAAGTGGAGGAGATTTCAGCGGAAGAGGCAACCTGAGCATATCCAATATGCCGTCAAATACTTGTTCAACCATTTGGACTCTTCAAAGCTATTCTCGCAAGACTCCAATGAACTGCAGCAGGAGTTTGATCACTTTCTCACCCATAATCTACTCTGGTTCATCGTGCTGTTGCAGGGTGAATTCACGTTGCTGGATAAGATTAAGTTCCTTCACTCTAATGTAAGTTTTTACTCATGGATTCTGATGATTTGAATGATGCGACATCATTTTATTCCAGAATAATGATTACGGTTCAACTCAACTATTAAGAGAAGCCGGGAGAGTGAACGAATATGTAGTTGACCGGTATCATCTTCCTGCCCTACCTCGGGTAACTGTCCACCCCAGCCACTTGCCCAAAACCAAAGTGTTTTATCCGTGGCAAATTTTTCGCTCCATGCTCCCCTTCACTCCAACCTCATCCCTACTCTTCAAATCATACAGTCATCTTTCTGATCCTGTTCGGATCTTCAGCATTTCCGGAGAGTTCGCTGGTCATCTGATTCCGTTAAGCGAGCATGCACTCAGTGCTCGGAAGATTATGGAGACAAAGCTAAGGAGGTTGCCAAGGGAGCAGCAGGGTTACAAGGCTGAATTTCTTGATCCCGATATTCGTGAAGGCACAGTGACTTCTGCAGCAATCTCCAAAGATGGTTGTCACATTGCACTTGGCTTCGGAAATGGTGGCATTGAAGTCGTTGACATTGATCAGCAGCATTCCATCACTCGATTCCAATGTGACTCGTATAGTCCCCCAGTGTGGATCGAGTTTATCTCTGGTAGGCACAGGATTGCTACCGAAGATAATGAAGGGAATGTATTCATCTTCGACCACGGTTCACAGCCCCTGAAGCTTGACACGCTCCCCAGTGGGCATTATCCCACTGTCACTGTGGCAGCGGACAATGGATCATTCGTCATACGACTCCCACGGCATCTTGGTCCCAACTGGTATGAAAGTGTGTCGATTTTGTATGTTTTGGGGGAGCCATCCATTCACCTTCTTTCGTCTCCTGGTTCTATACCTACTACTACTCCAACTCACCACTCTTACGGCCTCTCACTTGAATTGTCTCCTGGAGCACAATACGTTATCGCTTGTGATCAGAACCAGGCGTTCATTTGGTCGACAGAGTCACGCGAATTCATTATTCATCGTCGCCTATTGGATTTCGGAGCTTTTGTTACAGGTGTAACACCGTACCGCCCATACATTACCAGTGGGGCCATTGAGGACTCAGAGGATGATATCGCTCGTACATGGGGCTCTGGGGTGAAGCTTGATTCAGATAAATCGTGGCTGGAGTCGCTGGAGTCGCTGTGGCGTGGCAGCATGCTGCTCTCACGGCAAGCAATAGCTCTGCTAGCGACGGGACCTCGTAAAGTTCGTCAAGCACTGGTCAGCACCCCTAAACTGAAGTTATTGCTTGATAATACATTGAAACTCATTCTCCCAATCCAATATCATCCAATCACTCTTAGTATGGGGCACCTTGACGGGCTAGAAGAATGGTATGGAGATCGAGTGATAGGGGATGAAGGTTTCATCTACTTTCCCCGTGCTAGCAAGGATGGGACACGATTCTTGGTTCAGGGCCGTATGAAAGCACCAATCGTTGTTGATATTAGCCAAATTGTTTAGCACCTCTACCTGTCCATGGCCCGCTTTCATTGTAGTTGTTAGTCAGCTGAGTGACAGTAGTTGTCTCGGGGACAGCAGTCTTCACGGACGTTGAAATATGCACATCATTACATCAGGGTGGATCGTCTCTGCGTACACTAATGACGATGGACCGGTGCATTTCAACATCGTCGGGAGGAAGACAAATTACTCTTGCATGATCATCCCAGGGTAATCTAATCATCTGGTCGCATTGCAGCGAGCCCTTGAGGCTCGGCATCACATCTGAGTGACCGCTGCACTCGTTGAGTGTTACTGCAATTATTGATGATGATAATCACCTTGCCGCAGCATGAGAGCAACCGTGCTCTTAAGATTGCTTTTCACACCGCTTCGATATTACTGCCTAATATATATTTCACCAGTACTCAATATAGGATAAGCTGAAAGAATACGAGTCCTACCATTCGGAAAGTTAGCATATGGAACGGATTAGGACAAGGATTGCATGTATATGGAGACCCTGACTCACGAGGAAATACTTAGCCAAGTATCGACTGTTAAAGCCTAGGGCAGTGCGGCAAATCGACTCACAGCTTCCGTATTCGGATCAGGGTGGCGAGGAGAGTATGGCGAGCCTTCATTCACGGTTGAAACACCTGAGCTTTGGAAGAATGAGTGAGAAGGTCGCGTTGCACGAAGTGCATTAACAAATGCCCCGGTGCATGGCAGCAGAGAGAGTAGCATGGCCGAGGAGCTGGCTGAGCAAGCGGACGAATCGGACAGCGTGAGAAAGAAAGCCACCCGAGCTAAAATGAAAATGACTGAGCCCGATCCAGTTGCCAATGAATGATCGGATACATAGGATCCTGTGCATAACCATTAATCGCATCCTCAATTCGCAATCATCTTTCTTTGTGAGGGAGAAGGGGTCCACCCGCCCGATCGAAATTGCCTTGTGCATTGGGCTTGTTTCTGTTCAACGGTATCGACACCGTTTGCTCTCAGCTCTGGACGAACGTTCAATGGCATATTGGATTTATATCCTCCCGGAGTTAATCGGTATGACCGCTACATACCCTTCGATGTAAGCTTCCATTGAGTCGAGGTGTGTGTGTATCATACTGCAGCGTGGGCTTTCGAACTTACGCCTTCAGTGGTCTAACGAAGGTCGTCTGAAGCGGGTGGGGTTGGGAATGGCATTCGGCTTGAGCAGAGCAGTGATGAAGCATTGAATGACCTATTTAGTATATAGAGCTAATTTCCTGTCGCGCCATCGCCTCACATGCGCACTCTGCCTCTTGACGCGCGTTCCGTCCGATTGACATCAGGGAACAACTATGACTTCAATATCACAGTGGCGTACGATAGATTCTGCACCAGTGTCTTGTTTTAACACTCCCATCGTTGGCCAAATGCCCAGGTTTTGCAGGAGGGGTTTAATTCTAAAGCAACCTTTTGGTGATACCCTCACGCGTTTCGTGCGCCCACTTCCACCTACTGTGCTGCAACACCGGTTCGCGGTCCTAACAGGTGGCCGGCTCGAACTTGCACAGCGTTACTTTAACTGTATGGATTTCGTGGTTCCCAGAACATAGCAAAAAGGCAAAAAAGCTGCCTATTAATGAACACCACATCTATCGCATCTTTGTCTATAGTACCGGGATACAAAGAACCTGTGATTTTAGGCACCAGGGGTGTTCATTGTCTTGATGGGATGACGGGACACGATTGGGCGCAACAGGGGTTGACATTCAGCGCCAACATGAACTGGCAGGTCCATTAGATACAGCTATCTGCGATAGCGTTGTATCTATTTTCACTGCTCACCCAAATCCGGTCCCTGCAGAGAAGTCATCCCATCCAACTCCAAGATAATCACGCAATGAGGACTCTTCGCCTCCGTCCTCTGCCGCTTTTCTCCCCGTTTCACCTCTCAAGCCCACCCGCTCACTGACAGTATTTTCCCGCATACACGGTGCAGATGGTGGATTGGGCTTGCGTAACCTTGGAAGTGGGTCTGGCGCGAAGGGACCTTCAATAGTATAACGTTGATATTCGGCTACGGCGGGAAATGGAACAAACAAGTTCGCGCTTCAAGCTGGCGGAACAGTACGTTCCGCTAGTCCCGGTTCCTAAATTAGTTTTCACATATCGTCTTGAACCACCTTTTTTCTTCATTCCTACGTTTCTTATGTCCGAATCTAGTGAACCATCCCTTGAAAACTCATCAACAACGTCATTGGTCGGTTCACACAAATTGTGGCATCTAGGTTGATAGTGCTGTCATTTCTCAACGGCACAGTTCGGATTAAGTCTCGCTAACGCCTGGTGACTCCCGACAAATTTTATAAGGTGTTGCGTTGATATCGTTTGAAAGTACATTGGTATCAAAATGGCCTACGTGCTAATTCTACATGCCACGTACCGGCCACATACATCTTCACCTCACAGGGATGTATATGTTTTTCCTTTCACTCGATTTTCCTAGCCCTATCACGGAGGTTTCATATTTTCTAGATCGCATACCAGTAAAGTACTTCGTCATGCACATGTTCCGGCGCAGCACGGCAACTTGGGGATCATGATCAATTATTCATATAGGCGAGTGGCGCCGTAGTGAACAGTTGATTCATGCCCACTCACTATCAATATTCCCCCCTGTGACGTAAGGGCAGGATGTCGACCAATTAATGACAAGGACGGATTTCACAGCAGTGTTCACTGTTATATTTCGCTCGGTAGTAAGGAAGGGGAGCTGCAACATGGTCATACGCAAAAAGGAGGGTATTGAGATATGGTCAGGTTGGAGCGCAACCACAATCGCAATCCACTGTCTCCAACTGCCATGGACGCGGAGGATCCTTCTCTCCGTGTCTCTATGCCATGCTCCCTCGGCTTTTTTATATCGAAGTTGGGATCAATACAGCACCGGCTTGACTTTGCTGTTCGCTATCAGTTACGGACGAACGTTCAATACAACGTTCTCCTGGAAAACTCATACATGATAATATGCCAGGGGCCTCTCGCTGATGCAATGATGTCAAACGGTCGGGTACTCAGACTCTTAGAGAGGAGTTGGAAGGTAAACTAGTGGCGCTTTCAACCTTACACAAACGCTTAGCCCCGGCTAAGCAGCCCTAGCCAATAATGAATCTTCATCAAAGAGGAATGAGGCAAAATAATATCGAATCAGAGCACATAGAGACAATCATGGACAAAATGAACGTTGCCGTTAAATATACAACAAGCGACAATGATACCACTCACATACACAATGGCTTTGCACATATCGAAGGATTCCAGATTTTTCAATTAATGTTATGCAGGGTTGGGATATAAAAGACTTGTACTCGGTCAGTGTCTTGACGAGGGGATCGCGACGAGGGTAGACATTAACTGGTGCGTCCTTTATAGGTTCAACTACCCAAAGCTACTATATCCATGCTCACTGCTCCCTCCAAGTTCGATCCCTGTAGAGACTTGTCCAATCCGCTCGCCTTGCTTTCGCTGAGACACACAATGAGGACCAGCGCTTTTACCTCCGCTCTCTCCCTTATTTTCGGCCTCCTTCTCATCTCTCCAACTCGTGCCCTGATCAGCAGCATTTCCGCTCCCACCGAGGTTCTCCACCCAGGTGACAAGTTCAACGTAACGGCCCACACAACCCCTTCCTTGAACCAAAACAACCACCAATTCTACGCTATCTTCGGGATAACGCCCGCTCCAGGCGAGCCCGGCACAATGGGAATTCTCATTCCGGTTGTGTGCACTGGACATGGCAGATCGGGCCACAAGGGTAACGATAGTAAAGGGGCTGACAAGACGAAAACATGGGGGCACGAGGTTGAAGGGGTGGAGTTGTGGATGGGAGGTATGGGGAATATGACGGAATTCAACGTGACGCTGGAATTACCTAAGAACTTGAACACGACGAAAACACAAGCGGAGTTCCTGCTTCAAACTAGCGTGTTTGGTGTGGTACGTTATGTCTCCCCGATTCCTCGCTTAACAGGTTTTCGCACATCGTGACTGATCACTTGTTCTTTCTGTTCGTTTGTTCGTTTGTATTATTTCCTACGTTCATGGCGTCCAAACCCAATCGCCCCATCCTTGAAAACTCGTAATATCTGGCAGGTTGGGGCATTTGGGAATGCGACGTTGTCCTTTTACAACACCACGATTAAGATCGAGTCTTCGTAAGGCTCCAAACGGCCCCCAAAGTAAATCAGCCAACGTGTTGTAGGTACAATCGTCCCCTTGTTAGACTATACGAATGAATGGTCCAATGTTCGTTTTGGTTTTTGCTCAACTCACCTGCATACGTCCGATTATTCGTCACGGCACCCATACATAAAATCCCTTCCCATCAATCACAAAATGAACGAACGGTATGTTTGGGTTAGCTTCTATCCATGTTTGTGCGTGCGTGAGCCGAGCAGACCTTGAGTCGGACGGCTGAGCCGAAGAGTCCGTCAATTTCGAACAACAATATGTTTTCTGGATCTGGAGAGCTATATTTGCACGAATGGCCTGAATAACCGCTTCAAGAATCAGGCGAGTTACCATGACAATAGTTGTCCAAGTCGGACGACATGAATTGGGCGTTCTGGCAGATACGTTGCAGTTCAACGCATAACGTAGGAAGGGCTGCACAAGGAGGTTAACAGTATGGGGCAATTCATGTTCCTTTCGGCGCGCAAGTAACACTATAGTGGAGAGCACCTCCCGCAATAAGTGCCTCTGATCATAAAATGTTAAATACTCCAAGTGATACGGAGGCGGGATATTTGAGGGGTCGTGAGAACAGGAACTGCTACGGATCATAGGTGAAATGGAGGAAGGATAACTGCTCGAGAATGTCGTTCAGTGTGCCCAAAGAGGCACTTATTTGCAAGGGAAAGGATGCATGGGCAACCGGTGAGAGGAGTTGCTCCAAGGACAACATGAATCGCCGCTGCCGAGTCGACGTCGACGCACGGCAGACACAATGTATCGTTCTAGTGTTTTCCTCCTATAAATGTATGCCATGAAGGATTAAATGGCGAGCCAGTAGAGCCTGAAGAGGTTGGACGGCGCAGGGAGGCGGCCTGGGCACATGCCTTTCATATTTGGGCACAACGTATACCCCCCTCGGTAACCTGCACTGAGAGCTCACCCAATTGCACCCATGCCTGCCAGCGATTACACATATACTGAAACGATTGCTAAGCACTCACTTATTTATTTAAAATCGTTGCGCCGATAAATGTTGACCTCATCAAGGGTTTCAGGAACGACCCAAATCGTGCGTTTGTAGAGCACGCCCTCAGGCCTAGACAATGAATCGATTGTCTCCCTTTGCCGACAATGCGACACTGAGATGCTGCTGGATATTCTGAGTCCATCGGAACTTCCCTCCTGCCAAGGAATGACAGCACAAAAAGGACTCACGGACTTGCTGCACTACGTCAATGGCGCGTTCTCGGCCAGCTTTTCCCCTTCACTCAGCTTACACAAGCCTTATAGCCGGAATATGCCCACGTCTCGAGCCAAGTTCCTTCGACTATTGGACGGCATTGGGGTCCCTCATGAAGATTCGAAGCAGCAGCATGGCGAAGTGCTCGAAATTATCGGTTTCGAAGTTCACGCCGGCAGGACATGAATGTCAGGTGGAATCCTTGGAGGGTATCCGGGTGCTGGACACTGAGGAGTGGGGCACAGAAGATGCGGATTTCCAGATGTGGAGAGGGATACAAACTCCAGCACTAACGTAAAACCTGCCAAGTCAAGAGCATTACCTGCACCGTAGGGCTCACTTCTCCAAATCCTCATCCTCTCCCACCTTATACCCAGCAAGTAAATAATGGGCATGAATTTTGGTATCTTGTTCAAACGGCTTTCGGCATGCCCACCGGATGAATGCCGCAGCCTCATCCTCTATAGAGTCGCGGATCGCGCGGCGAGAGATGTTCGTTTTGAAGTATCTGAGTCGGTATTTATGCTCCACGGTCATTCGTTCATTTGCGCGATGGAATGCCCAGAGAACTTCACGGACCCTGAATTAGGTATGAAAATACGGGGCACATGACCAACCATACAGATGGGAGTGTTCGAGACATCAGTTGTTACGCACAAGCACATGATGCAATGATAGACATACTCATCGATGCGGCGGTCAAGCATTTGCCAGTTTGTGATTTTATCCAAGCGCCAGAGAACGATGGTTTCGTCGCGAGAATCCTCCCAGTCGCTATCCTCGCTTGAGCCAAAAACAACCAAAGGGTGTTCACTTCCAAACTTCATACCACATTCTTGGAGTGCCGTTTCAATAGTCTCATTCACCCAACCCACTGCGCTGGTTGTCATCACTAAGGGGATCCCAATGTCGTTGCTGGGGCCCATCACTTCCAAAACGGAGTCAGCATAAGTGACTCGAGCAACAGCGTCTTTCGGAAGTCGATCGAAGCTTTGGCACTTCGGCCAAGTACGGAAACTGAAGTCCGATTCACGGGAGTTGAACTTCTCGATAGCCTTTTTGAACTCCGGGATAGTGAACGAGGCGTCCCACTTGTATCTAGGTGTCCCATCGAGTGAGTATGGGCACGCGATGTAGGGGGATTGTGCCGAACTTACGCTGGTGTATCGTCATACGATATAATGGTTTGACTGCCTTCACCATAGGTGTCAGAAGCAAATAAACCTTCAAATATACTAAAAGTCAAGATGTATTCAGGAAACTGGGAGTGGAGCTTGGTCGTTCCGAAACGTACTGAATTTTGCCGGCGACCTCAGCTTCCCAGAGGGCAACATGTCTCATGAATAGGGAAAAGCCCGTCAAACAGCTTCGCCAGAGAGGCTCGCTCGTTATCTGGCCATAACTTTCTAACATAGCATGCGAGAAAACAGGTTTGCCATCAGGCGATTGGATCGGCTTGGTCAAGTCGATGTTCAAGTGGGGGACATCCAGGTGAAACGGCTTATTCTCATGTCCCACGAAGAGGTAACGCTTAATCACTGTCGAGGTCCAGTCCCGAGCAGCTTTAGCGGCAGGCTCAATGGAGAAATTCTCTATGAGATTTTCGCCCCGAGAAATATCTGCAAGAGCCTCCGCATCATTGTGAATGGCGAGAAAGTCTAGGTATGATGGAAGAATACGGATTCCGTAGCCCTTGTTGGCATACTTGAACACACTTGAAAGATCAGGCATTGATTGTTAGCTCAAGTTTTTCTTTTCATAAGTGGGACTTTGGGACTTGCCGTTGATCGCGCGTGGCCTTACGATCGCCAAGATAGTGTCCATCGATGAGATCCATCTGGCCAAAGAAGATGAATACAAGAAAGGACTGAGATGATGTTGAAGTTGCTTACTGTGAACACAATTAAACCCGTCTCGAGTGCGCGCACGCACCGTGGCAACAACCATACATCTGTTCCGTCGTATCCCACTGCACAGATATCAAGGTCGAAGTTGAGGAGGACCTCCCGAGGACTTCCGATGAGTTTCAGGACGATTTGGACTCGCCGACGAGGATACTCTGAGTAGAACGTGATTGTTTGAGAGTTTCTAACTACTAAGAACGGCGCATTCGGAGGCAAATTCTTCTTGTACACTGTCTCGATGTGTTCAATTTTTGCATTCGCTTGTTGAGGGGCCAGGCCATAGATGTATAAATCAATGTCCGAATCCTTGAAATCCCCGGGTTTTTTAGCCCCAGGAGAACTGGAGAGCTTCGATGGAAGCTCTGGAGTGAGCAGGGTGGAAAGTACCATTCCACCGGCAACGAAGACATTTGACCAATTCAGTCCGGTCAATATTCCATCGGTCATTTCATCCCATCGCATTTTGAAGCCTTCCTTGGAGGTCTGGAGGAAGATGTTCTGATGTCTTTTGGCATGGAGGACTGTATACCCAGGAAATGAAGCGACTGGCCGACGCTTGACTTCCAGCGCTCTGCATTTCTGGTCATTTACTACGGTGGAGTCGGGGATGACGGACTGGATATCCTCCACATTCACAAGGCCATACTTCCATGATGAAAGAGCGTGCGGGGCATCAGCTGGAATGGACTTCAGGTTATGGCGACGTGAGAGAATCCGAATATATCTCTCGTTTTTCAGTACCCTAGCCAGCATGAGAATGTTCAATAGTATGGTCAAGGATCTACACTCACCATTCATCAACGTCGGCAACGAAATACTCCTCTAATGTAGTCTTTGCTCGTTTCTTGCCACGTTCAGACGGCCCCAAATCACGTCCAGCGAGTCCAAGACATCTGATGGTATAGGGAAGGCGAATCCAGTTCCATAATTGTTCGCCCCCGTTGTAGCCGGTTTTTCCAAAAGCAACCTTGATTGTCTCGATATCTGCACTGGGATGCTCACCAAGAATCCCCTTGAGGCTAAGTTCATCTAGCGCAACATTGCATGGAATTCCCAAAGAGATATTCTCCTTGCACATCCTGGCTTTCGCCTCTTCCCAATGCTTGAGCTGATGGTCGATGACTTTTTTAGCCATGTCCCCCATGCGAATCTCAGTATTTTTGAGAATTTTTCGTAGCTCGGAATCCGCGGCCGTGGATATTATTGGCCAAACCGCATGATTGCGATGGTAGTGCTCGGAACGTCTTCGACTATACCTAGCTGTTGCTGACAGATGGCCACAATTAGCGACGACGATTCTTATTGTAATTCTAGATGAGCGCAGCGCAAAACCACACTACATACCAGTACGCCTTTTCTTGTTCTTTCTTGTACGGCCCATGGCCTACGAGTTCTTTGTGGGACGGACGCAAGAAAACGGGAGCGAAATCTGAAAGGAAATAGCAATCCTAGTAACGAAGGAAATGGCGGGAATTTGCTTCCGTTGACGATTCGGGATTGCCTCAAATGGCCCATGGGCATCCATTTGTTCAACCACATCGCCTCTCCTATGTAATCCGCGTGATTTCGGTGGCACATTCATTTTGCCCTCACGTTCCAACCGCAAGGGGCCGCTAAGGAGGGGACGCGGAAAGACAAAGTTCGTCTGCTGAGAAGGGTTTTGGTGTTCTTCACAATGATACACATCATGATCGAGCTCCGTTCCCTGTGTCATGCTGCACACGCGTGAACTAACCGGACGTTTGACACTCCTAATTATATAATTACTTCTGCCGTGCCGTTTCTATTGCGTGCCCTCCGAACCGCACTCGCACATCACACGACGGATCTCCGTCTAATTGTCCCACTCTCACAAACAGGACTGGGGAACTTGCGGAGTGGAAGGGATCTCGCATGCGCAGAAATTAAACGTCCATGGATCCATGGATCCATGCTGCATTTCCTCTTCTCAACTGAGTGTGCATCGTGGCTAGTGCATATTTGCTTCTTACCTGCTGACGTGCACCATGCGGGAGGCTTCATTCCTCCGCTCCTGCGCCGTCGACACTAGTACGGTGTCTCGCAAAAGCCCCATTGCCATTTTCCTCGCCGTTCGAAAGCGAAGTCCCCCGTCCCGAGCTCCCTCTCCATGGCCCATAAACGTCGAGCACTTCAAGTGCCATCATCGATCCCAGGCAGCTCAGGACGAACAGGCAGGATTTGAAGCCTCCTTCTCTGTCGTTTACGTCTATGGCGAAGCTCCCAGTCGCGGCCAATCAATTACGGACAGTCCATAACAAATACATCCCTTCAGCTGTCTCCTGATATAATGACTTGCGGCTATCGCTTGCTTCTCTCCACTCTAGAGCACTACCAGTACCCACTCAAGGCCCAACCCACAAGCCGGCTGCGAAAAGAGCCCAAAATCCCACGAGCAAGCGGGGGACTCGACAGGTGGTGGCTTTTCATCGGGCAGAGAGTCAGCAGCCATCGAAGGCCGCGGCCGGCTCACAAAAGGAGACTATCATGGGTGCCGTTATGTAAGTCCCCCTTTTGCCGTTGTTTTTAAGTATAATATAAGTTCGGCTTTATACCAAATTTCACTTAGATTCCAAACTGGTATGTACAGTTCCCCTGGCAATCGTACGAATGTTACTAATATTGTTACGTTGGGCTAGAGTGTCACCGGCAACGATGAAGCCATATATCATCGTCCAGCAGGTACGGGACTCGGTTTTTGGTGGCGAGACACCCCTCGAACTGGAAAATCTGACGTGAAATTTTCAAGTGTCCGTTTCTCGTTTCCGTCGCATTGTTATTCGCCCACTCTAAGCACTATACTGTTGATAACAACGTGCAGAGACTGGTAGATAAGGTTAAAGGACTGCGACTCGGAATCGTTATGGAAACCGTTTGATGGAGCATGTCGTGAATTACCTGTTATAGCATTCGTGGTGAATTCGGGTCACCGGAATCATGAATCACTTCGATCGAACCCCGATCATGAATGACATCATTAGAATAGGTCGGGGCTTGAATCCGTTAGTTCCCGCCCATACGGGCTCGTCGACCTAAAGAGGAACATTATTGTCACCGCACCAGTGGACACAAGCAGGGATGGACAGACAACAATCCTCTCAATATAACGTCTCCATGGCCGAGACTAATACTCTTGGTCCTATATGCGGCCCGCTGATGTAACACCATTCTTATGTAAACCACTTGGACTTTATATACCTAGCGCGCGTTGCGTTCCACTTCAACATCCAAGGCGATCCTTCAGGACAAGATGGAGGTTGACTCCACTGTGAAACGTTCCGCATCATCAGGTGAAACTCGTTCTGGGCTAAGCCTGCACGACGATCAACTGGAAATAGTCACCGTGGCCATCGAGGGCTTTCGTACTTACTGGGCAACCTTTCTAAACCAAGTTGGGGGAGATGGAGATGACAAGACGTGGATTTCCCTCTTTCCAGCGGTTCTGAGTGTATTTCTGCTTGCGTTACAAGCCGCAGGTTTGGAAGACATTCAGAGTGCCACGCCAGAAGACTCTATCCTGCACACCTTTAGCGATGTCGAACGCGGAGAATGCAAGGATTTGGTGATCAAAGCTCTCAATGATGGCGATTCGACCTCCTTGATCGAGTATTGTATGTACTGACCAACATTTGGAGAGCTGTCATTGATAAGTAGTGTAGTGGGACCGAGGGTGCGACGTTGTGACACTTCCCAGTCGGGATTGGCCAAAGATGAAAACCTCACCAGTCGGCGTAAGTCTACTCCTTCATCGCGTGAAAAACTACCGCTGTACCTCCCGCCATTCCTGATGCCTTCTCCCCCTCTTCTTCAGAATTACCCCCCCAAGAGTACGTTGGCTCATCCCAGAGCTTACTGCTTGACACCTTGGATCGCTACTCTTCAAGGGGTTTCCGCCCATACCACCTCTCAATGACCATCTTACAGTCTTCCGGGTGCGGCAAGTCTCGTTTAGTGGACAAGTCTGCAGAAGAGAGGTTCGCATTTCCTCTGAACACAGGAGAGCCATTGCAGAACTCGCTGGAGAGTGAGTTGTTCTTGTCTACCGCTTCCTTGAACATTATTCGCTGAGCACCCCAAACAGCTTACCCACTCGCTGATCAAGACGTCCGAGAATTTTTCCTCCCGCAAGCAACAGACACGAACGAGAGTCTGTACATCAAATATACTTCTTTTTTGATACAAATGTTCCGTTGCGCGACTCCTATTGTTCGCTCGTTCAAGTTGATGGCGCATTCCGAAATTGCGAAGAGGTGGCATAAATACCTTGCCCAAGGACAGAACTTTCTGGAGACTGGACTGAATCGGAGGGAGTTCTACAGAGATGTAATCAGTCAGGCAGAGGTAATGGCGCCAGATGTAACGTCCTTCGCTGAACTCATATTTTTCCTAGGACTTGATAGCATCCGTCTCCCGTCCAAATATACACAGCATTGCTGGGGTGGCACCCGTTGAGCCGCCCTTTCCGAATCTGCAAGCACAACTTGCTGACGCCATAAAGTGCCTCGAACTGGTGCTTTACCCAGACCCTAAAGGTCCACCATCGGAAAGAGATGACCTGGATCGCTGCTCTTTCTTCCTTTATATCGATGGGGCTCGTAGTCTTACCGAGGAGCCTGAGACCGGAAGCAATGCACGAAATCAGAGCGCTCACGATGCTTTCACGCATGTATTAAGTTGGGTGAACAATCTGCCTTTTTTCACCTTGTTCCTGTCAACAAGCGTGAAATTAAGGTCGTCCGCCGCCACTACGATGGCCCCCCATCCCTCAACGAGAGTCTCGGGAAAGACTGAGTTGCTTCCAGAATATACGGTACTGCCGTTTGACATATTTTCGCGGGGCCACTGGCAACGCGCTGGTCACGAAAGAGGAGATCCGAGCCCGCCGATTACGTTGAAGATGGTATGCTCTAGTGGTACCATGGTTTGCTTTGGTAGACCCTTGTCAGTGGCTTAACATATCACAGTAATCTCGAAAACCGTTCTAACCGGCATGCAACATTCAGGTGGTACTCCATGTATGACAACGGGAAAGAAAGCACAGAGAGTATCTTTGCGTTCGCCATGAAAAAACTTGGTGCTGGGGGTATTCGAGCCGGACGCAATGAGGATAAGACTAGAGATGGAACAGACACATCTGCTATGCTTGCATCCCTTGACATCAGGCTCCAACTCTCATTTGATCTTGCGCGGCACGCCGCACGGTCAAAGATCTCAACTTTGGTCGAGTCCTATATGCGAGTCGTCTATGCGGTGCCGTTGCATCGTGAATTCATATACTCAGGTTATCCCTCTGAACCCGTTCTTGTCGAGGCCGCCGCACGGTTGCTCAACCAAGGGGGTGGCAGTGACTCTGGGAGCTTCCTACCGCCCATTGCCTTCAAAGGGCCAAATATACTGAAAGCCGGATATCGTGAAGGGATTCTTGATTGCGGAGAGCATGCAGAGGCCGTAGGACGTTTGCTGGTGACCATCGCCCACGATGCTGCCATCATGTGCCATAACCCGTCATACGGATTTGACCCGGTATTCCATAAACCCGTCAAAGTCCTCGACTTCCTTCGATGCCTTTTCCATCCAAGCTATCACCAAATCATCTTCAGTGCCCTTCCTGTGGTCGCTGGGGAGGGTGCAATGTCCCTCGAGAGGGCATACGAAAACGCTTATATCAGTTTCTCACACTTCGTTCAGGCGGGAGATTCCAAAGTAGTTCGAGTGGAATATTTGTCCAAATTGCTTCTGCGTGGGGGTGCCTTAAACTGTTACGTTGAACGGTCCTCTATCGACCTTAGCTTCGTTATTCCGGTCTTCTTCGGGGGTCTTGAACAGCCCATTGATCGAGGCAAGACATCTGCACTCCAAGTGCAGATCAGGAATCACAAAAACAGGTTGCCCGAGGATGAGTATTACTCTGTAAATCCACAAATCACGAAGCCCGACCTCGACGTGGCTGTCCTATCGCTCATTCTTGAATTCGGTGCCCAGACTTCATTGGTCGGTGTACAATCCTATCCACATCGTCGAGCCCCGAGTGGCGAGAGGCTACCCGATGAACACCACTACCTCATCGTGGCACATGGATGTTCTTCCGCCACTTATTCGGTGATACCAGCGGAACTTGATAAGAAGTATGCTTCCTTGCTGCGACACTCAGCTTGTTGGATCAGTTCCCCAGGAAGATCAATATTCGCCAGGCCTTGCACAGAAACCACTTTTCTGGGGTGAAAAGGCCGAATCTTGGAGTTGGTGAGCGCTCGCTGGTTATCTGATGTGATCGCTGCCCTGCGTCCCGAAAGCTACCAAGTTATGTTGTCTCAGTCATTCTAATGTGCTCCCCGTTCAATGCAATGTAGTGTGTAGTATTCACAACTTTTCGTGCGTGAATAATTGATCCTTTCTGGTCCGAGCGAATGCACACATCTTCTAAGTCAGATACGTGGGTTGCTTTCTCTTCGGTTCCAAACATGCGCAGTGTGTTGGATGGCACTGGGCGCGCGCTGGTCTTAGGACGCATCGGTCCCGGAGTCGTTAGACCGTCAAACTTGAGATAAAAAAACGCAAGCTACATGATGAGAACAGGAGAACAGGAGAACACGCGAATTCAATTCGAATTACATAACCAAAGACGTACTTTTCGCGTTCCCCACGGTTTATTTACATAAACACCGAGATTTACGCAGCCAAAATGAATGAATCGGGAACGGCCACATGGACACATGGACACATGGACATGGCTCAATGCGATCGCGGTGCGTGAAGACAACGATGGTGGGGTGAATGGGACGTGCTCCAGGCAACCAGAATTTCGCACCAGGACAGAGAGAGAGCTCGAAGATGAGAATAAAGAAAGGAATGAAGTTGAGAATGAGAACCGAAAGAACATCTTCGGGTGACTGGCATTCGCTGGTGTGGAAGTCCAGAATAAATGCTTCAGTACTAGTGAAAGGTGGGAATGTGATAATGCAGCGGCACGATCTGCTGCATGGGTTCGGAGTAGAAATCGGATTCCTGGGTGTTGAACCTTCACGTGGCAAAAGATACAGCGAGTCATTCTGGTGTTTTCCGCCCAGGACATGTGCAGATGTGTGGGAAACGATAGGCTAGTGGGGCGGCCAGTTCGCCCTCTCTGCAGTCGTAGTTGTCGAGGGTCACGCTTGCACGAGAGTGTGTGTGTGTGTGTGAGCACTGGATATTTAACGTGCACGTGCAGGCTGCCCGAATGAGGCGCCAAGGGCACGGATCAAAAGATCAAAAATTATGTACAAGAGGGGAAGTAAAACATATGGATGCGTGGGTTCGGAGCGCCTAGGGTACTCGTACACCGTTTCCGGGGGGAGTATACATTTTGGATTTGTTGGCAACGGATGCCGGCTCCGAGCCTTGTTGGCCAGACGCGTAAGCGTGCCTCTTGATGCGTTGGAGAACCGCGGCGAAACGGGTTAGTTGAAACGGCTCCTGGGAATGTTGGCCAGACGACTCCTTCGTGCCTCTTGGTCCTTTGGAGAACCGCGCTTCGGTAACGCAGGCGGGGGCAATAACCGTTAGGCGCGGAGCCGCGTGTATTGCGAACCACTCAGTGCTTTCGTAAGAGAAGGAAGGGAGATAGACTTGTGCCCATGGTCTCTCGACTACTGTGAGCAAGAAGGTAGGAAAGTGGAAGGTGATGGAAGAAGGCGGCACAGAACGGTGCAAAAGGCCAACGCAGGATAACGGGTCGTGTAAGTGCCATCCACGTCGTTATCCATCGCGGCAAAGGAGAACCTCTTAGACCCAAAACCAGCAGCCACATTGGGCATACTGGGGGAGCCTCTAGACCACGGCAAGGTGGGTTCTCGTCCTAGAGGTGCACGAGAGTGTCAAACAAACAGAATCTACTGAGTTGCCAAGACCAGAGAGTTGAATTACTTAAGCCAGTGCATGAGGCAACCCACCTGGAAGAAATTTGTTGGAGAATCTGCTCAACCACACAGCTTGGTCGGGATCGCGGTTGACCCTTGATAAAACCGTTGGGGCCGCCCGGAGGTACCACCTCCAACCTCTAACCCACCAAGAAAGAAGAAAAAATTGTCGGGGCAAATAGCAGTAAATGGGCTTCTTGCGTACCGATCCACCGTGACCATACGCACATTATCCGGTCATTTGTCGGCAACTGAGTTGTTCTTACCAATGTCATATTGCATATTACGGAGAAGATCGTCGGCCCTGGTTCAGGTTCCGCCACGAGCTCGCTGTATGTCAGGGCACACCCGCCTGACCCGGGCCCACCCGGGCCCACCCGGCCACACCACACCCGCTCCCCGCTGCCTATCCCCCTCCCCCCTCCTTCCTCCCTCTCCTCCCCCCTCTTTTCCCTTTTCTTTCCCCTTTCTTTATTTCATTCTTCTCATGTTCCTCTTCCTGTTTATTTCTTTCTATCTACACGGACCACCTTCCCTTGTATCGATGTACTATTGACCCGTCCGGCCCACACACCCCGGACGGCCTCCCGCTGTGCCCAGCACGCGCGCATGTAGCGGACGCTCTCGGGATCCCCCACGGGGACACCCGGATGCCTGCGGCTGCCTCCGAGGATGACGTGGCACCTGTCATGTGACTCAAGCCGCATGTACATAAATGTACCTGAAGTGGGAACCGAAGAAGTAACCTTCTTCTCACATTCTCCACTTCAGTCTGAGTGGCCAGGGACCACTGTCCCGGATCGGGCCCGCCAGTACGCACGCCCGCTCCACACCCCGCGACGGCCTCAGTGCCGGGCATTACCCCCGGGCCCTCTTGACCCCGGACGCGTCCCTGACACTGTATTTGCCTGGTACCCAGACTTCAACCGATATATGTTGTGAAGATGAACCCTGGCGATCGCCCCTACTTTATCAACCACCTGGGAACACCATCTCTATTGGAATTATGATGTTACAGGGATGGGGGGAAATCCCCATTCCTCGATCCGTTCTTATAGCGGGATGACGAACATCGTATCTAGTCTGTACCATAACGGGATATGTAATCGATGAGTGATCCCAGTCTTGCAAGGGAGTGGACGATCGAATTCCCATCGATCGTGATTGGTGATGTAGTGAGCTATTAAGGAATTGTCAGGGCACATACCCTGACTTAGCCCGGACCCGGACCCGCGTCCGGACCCGCTCCACTTCCCGCGCACTTCCTGCGCCGCATGCTCCGCGCGCCGCATGATCCGATCCCGGATCCCACCTCATGTGACTTCCGGGTATCCCCGGAAGTTTTCGCCATATTGGGGCCACTGTGGGAAAGTGAGAAGTTAACCTTCTTCTCACTTTCTTACCCACAGTAGTTATGCCCTGAGATGGGCTGTGTTTACAGGCTAGACTGTGGACTGTAGAGAGGGGTCATGGGGACCCGGGGTCCGTCCCCTGACAGGAATTGATGGTAGGTAGTCGAAGACGTCATGATGGATGGGTCAGCCATGGGTACTTGGCGCTCCTCAATGGAGCGTACCGTGTGCGAGGTTGTGACTCATGAGGTGGGTGAGGACTTCGTATAACTGCCATCGGGTACTTGGCATTCGCAGCGCGAACGTACCGGTAGCAGGTTGATATCATGAGTGTGTGTCAGAGTCTGGATTACTTGTCAGAGACTGGATTATTGTCGGAGTTGGAATACTGTCAGAGATCTGTGTCAGGGTTCAGCACCCTGCCTTAGGGTGCCCCGGACTCCCCACCTACTTTACCCCCTTTTATTCTTTGACTGTTGCCTTGTTGTTGCCTTTGTGTGTTGTGTACACGCGCACACGGGATAGCGTGGGAACTTTCTGAGCGAGCAGCTCGCCCAGAATGTTCCCACGGGTCACAGCCACAGTTCTGGGTGAGCAACTCGCCCAGAATGTTCCCACGCTTACTGGGCACTGCCACCTGGATGTTCCCTCCGGGTCACACTACACAACTCTAGGAGCTGTATAGTTGTGGGCATGTGACCCATTCCTTTATATAGCAACCATGTGGGGAGATGAGACCTTTACCCTTCTTCTCATCTCATGCCCCGCATAGGCAAGTGTATATATTCCCTTTCTTTTACTATACATCTCATGCCCCGCATAGTGTGAGGACAGGTTAGATGGGGGGCTGAGGTCAGGGAGCCTCCGAGTCCGAGGCCGGGCCCTGACAATCTGGAATGCTGTCAGAGACTGGGAATATTGTTAGAGTCTGGCAGACTGTCAGAAGACGGATAGAAGACGGATTGGGTTCTGTCTGAGTTGAGGTCGGAGTTGATGCAGAGGTCTGTTGGAGTGCGCACGCGGATATGCGGGCGGAAATATGCGGCGCGTCCGGAAGCGCTGTTCAAGGTTAGCAGAGTGGGATCGCGGCCTCAGTGACTCAGGTGGAGCGCTGTGCCCTGAGCTTGACGTTTGGGGGAGATCCCGTATTTACAGACTGACACTCACAGCGGACTTCAAACAAGACTTGCGGGTGGAGCGGACCTGTAGGAGGAGCGCAGACTCCGCGAGCACGGACTCAGAGGGGGGGAAGCCCCCTTTGCAGAAGGAGAGACTCAGACCAGACAGGGGGGTACTCTAGTTGATTTCAGACTGAGGTCCCCAAAAGTATTTACAAGGTATATAAATAGGCAAGAGGGAATATAGGAAGGCCGGTCAGTCCGGTGCGGTCCGGTGTGGAGATAAGCGGGGATTGTCAAACTAAATAAGGACAAGAGCCCGGGAACTGGAAACGAGGAACAGATCAATAAACAATAAGTGGCAAGGGTTATTGATGAATGAGATCAATAACCTAGTGCCAATAAAGAGGGGATCAAATGCTGATATTGGCAGGGAAGCAAACAATAAATGGCACTTGGCAAGGAATGAATGATAAGCTGCCAAGTGACAAATGGCCAGAGGAAAAGCAGAGGTCAGTGTGTGGCGCCGATACAAGTCCGCAAATAAGCGGGGTCGGTGCGGTGCTGACACAAGTCCGTGAACAGAGGTTGATCTGCCAGCACTGTCACACAAGGACAGCATGAAGGCCAACAGAGGTACAGAGGGGAGTGGGAGTGTTGACCTGACCAGAGGTGTCAAGGGCAACCAGAAGTGGGCAGAGGGTGCAGAATGCACGGAAGCAGGGCATGGCTGTGACCACATAGCGGGAAGCAATGAGTGAGGTCCAGATGGAGACAAGGCAGGCATAGGAACTGGAGGGACTGAATGCCGGGAGCGCCAAGGGCTCGGGAACTGGAGGTAAGGTCGGGATGCCAGCAGGGTCTAGGTTCTGATTGTTGGCCAAGTCTCACACGATAAGGCAGGGGGCCAGACATCGGGTTGGGGGCTGGTTAGGATGGGTTTTGGGTTGGCAGATTCGCCTATCGGCATTGGTTTGCCGCTGATGGAGCCCCAGGATTTGTCGGTCGTGACAGCCATCTAGATCCTCGTTGGGATTGCACATGGATGCTATCGTTGTCCCACTCTGGACTTTGATCGGGTATGGGTTTGGATTGGTCAAGGGCAGCCTAAGGGGATGGGCAGTGTTTACGAGCATGGTCGGAGGTGGCAGACAGTCACCCTGCTTCCATCCTGTCCTCCGTCCTTCGACGAGGCGTACTCCCAAGTTGTGGTCAAAGTTACCAGTGACCCCAACCAGGCGGACTGTGTATGGTTCTAAGGTCACATCCTCCGTGATTTTTAGTCGACCTGTACCCGAGACGTTCACTCATTTAGGTTCTTGAGAATGAGAAGGACCGGCTATAACTGGATAGGCGGGCGCGTGATGAATCTGGCTCTTGAGGGGAACCTGGTGGTCTGAGTCTGCCACTTGCCAGAATTCTCGTTCAGGTGGACGCATAGTATGCAGCTGGAACGCTGTCTGCACGTCTTCGGCTATCAACAGAGGGATGGTCATCCCTTTGAGTACATAAGCTTCCACACCCTGCAACAGGATGTGACCTTGTTGTGAGGGCAGGTATAAGTCAATTGTCGTGTAGCCTTGGCATTTAGCCTTCCCTGTTAGCTGAACCAAATTCAATTTCAATCCTTGCTTTATGCGGGTGCCTTCTCCTTTAATACGGTCATACAGGTCAGTCGATATTAGTGTGCAGGCTGCCCCAGAGTCGGCCAACACTTCTATCTCGATCCCGTCTATTGCGTTGATGCGACAACGGACTCGACAAGCATCAGATCCTAAGGCCTGCTGACCTGGGGGTCGCTCGAATATCTTGTGGGCTTCATATATCTCACCCAGGACCAGGGCGGCCTCAATGAGTCTCTCGTCAGGCAGGATCTCCTTCCACGTACAGGCCGCAATGTAAGAAAAGGAAGAATCTTCGGCATTATCTATGTCAGGTATATCCAACGATTCGGAATCGGACAGGGTACAAAACTCTGTGTAGGCCACTGCAAATTCTGCTTCCTGACCTTCCACTAAGGCAGCATAAGCCCGTCGGTAGGTACTTTCCAACTTGGACGAGTTGTCACGTTCCTTATGGTCGTTCCTGGCTCGATCAGCCTTCCTAGGGGGACAGTTGTTGTCCCAATGGTTCGCACTTCCACAGTGTCGACAT